ATCATCCTCACCTAAGTGCTTCTTGGCCCTGTTTGGACGTGTTGTTTAGTCTTGGATCAGTGTTAGCATCTCGTGGTGCTGACCTATAGCTCCCAAGTCAGTAGGGAGTAAAGATGCTCTTTTTTCCTTTTTGTGTTTTTCTGCATAAACTGGACCAAACCTACCCAGTTGTAAGTGTACTCTTTCTGGTTGTAAATCTGTGTACTTCCCTCCTATTCGTCTTCATTCTTTGCTGTCTTAACACTGTTCTCTTTTGGTTGCTAAAGAGGGTTTTGGGGAACACATTGTCCAAATGCATTACTGTACAGATGAGGAAGTTGAGGGGATGTAGGTGAAGAGCAAGATCATCATTTACTTGGTCACTCAGCACACACTGGCTGACTGCCTCCTGCAAACCAGGCGTGTGCCAGGAGACTAGTAATGGGATGAACAAACCTGACCGGGCTCCTGCCTTCATGAGGCTTACAGCTCCTCTGCATGAGCCATATATCACATTGTTTCAAAGGTAAACACAACAAACATTGCCCACATTTACTGTGAAGGAAAGCACTGGGTGCTCTGAGAGAGGATGATAATTGAGGGAAAGTCTCTCTGAGAATGTGACCACAGTTACTCCAGACCAAAGGATCATCTTGTGCAAACAGCTTGGCACGTTTGCAAAACTGAAAGAAAAGGCTCTTAATGTATACCATATAGTGAGTTGAAGAAGACAAAGGTGAGGTTAGGGAATAGGAAGGGGCTAGATCGTATAGAGCCTCCCAGAGTTTGGGTTTAGTACTGGGGGTGGTAGAGTGGGAAACCCTTGAAGGGTTTTAAGCATATCTATGGTGGAATTTGATTTTCATTTTGATTTACATGCCATATAAAAAGTAAATTTAAGGTCAGAGGGCTTATCAGTGTTAGAGATGAGACTTCAGCACATGGCTTCTTATTCCCAGCCCATTCTGATTAATCAGGTCTTCCTTCTAGTTCCTAAGTACCAACCTGAATTAAGTAGAAAGTGCAAAATAGCATTGGGCTTATGTCCAAATGGCTTACTTATGCTTGCTCCAATGGAACGGGGGAAAAAAAAGAAACCTAGAAAGTAATTAAGAGGTCTCAGCTATATAGTCTCAGTTCAACAAAAACCCCTTCTATTATCCCAAATGTGTTGTCTGTTAGCTGTCACTCAGAGTCACGGGCGCTGTAATTACTGTTGATTCTGCCCTCTAAGCTGTAGCTTGTGTCTGTGCCATTTTCTAGTTACACCAGCTTGTGGGGTCAATGGCAAACCCCATGACGTCGGACTCCCAGCTGGTGCGTGCCACTTTTAGCAATTCAGCAGTTTGTTTTTTCTCCCAAGATTAAATGCTACTTTAGCCTTACATCTTATTTGTGACATTGTGGAATCATTCCTTTTCATCGTGTCTCCTTAATTTGTTTACATTGTCTATTTACAGAGTAATGCAACTGATTATTTTGATTGAGGAACACCAGCATGTTCAAATATATTTATCCTGCCTCTCAAGAGATACTCAGTGTGCTTTCTATCTGATGATTGCTAACTCATTTCAGCGTGTATTCAGTGACATGTGGAAGCAGCGCGGTATTCTGGGAACAGCAGGGCTTTGGACAGATGTGCCTAGATCAAATCATCACTCTTCCCCGGTGGCTCTGAGCAAGCTCTGCGTCTGTAAAATGGGTATAATAAACTCATAGAGTCATTTTAAAAAGCAGTACACCATACATAAAACTGCCCAATAAATTTTCACAATTTTATTATCACATCAGCTTTACTGAGGTTGTCATTGACATCCAGTAAACTTACATGCTTAAAATATACTGTTGACACATTTTGACACGTTTAGCCCTAGGATATCTTTAGACGATCGGGCTTTTTATCCCTCCATTTACCTGTCTGGTCTGTACCTGTTGTAGTGGTGCTGTTGGGAGAAGGGAGTTTTTTTTCCCTTCAAAACATTTAGAATGATCATTGCTCTGTATTGCATTAGTCATGGTATTTATTGTTTATTGGACTCAGCATTAGAGGCAAGTAAGATTGTAGGATTTATCAGACAACAGTATTAGAAAAACGGTTGAGAAATAGTACTGTGCAGACTGTCCGTCCACAGCCTGCATGCTGCAGCCGTCAACACTGCTGCTCTCATGGAGTGTGTGCCAGAACTGGGGGCTTTGCTTCAGGGGTACAGAGACTTGATGGGGAAAGAACTGGGGGCTTTGCCTCAGGGGTACAGAGACAACTCAGGCAGAGACCCTGCCCTGGAGGATCGTAGTATCTAGGGATGAAGTGAAAAGTTACCCAGAACAACAATAATACTAACTAGAAGGTGGGAAAAGGTAAAATACTGGAGGAATTCAGAGCGTGCAATAACTTCTGTCTTGGGAATAAACTCCAGCAAGGAAAAAACCATTCATTGCCTCCTGCGCGTGTGTCTGTCTGAGGTAGGTGTGCAGAGCAGTTTTGACAGATACGGGACCTGCCCATTGAGAGCTGAGGGGCTAACGCTGTGCATCATGGGCTGACGGGCTGGGCATCTGCCCAGCTTTTTCCTGGATAGTGTCCAGCGTTCCTGAAGAAAGGGAGTACGCAGGACCCCAGGCCAAGTTTTCCATTGGCCAGAACACCTAACTGACTCATGTGAATGGAGAAGCCCCCTCTGGGTTGCCTGTGTGGATAATAGGGCTCTCATTCACCTTCACATCTAGGTCAGTGAGGGGCCCACCTGGGGTGCATGCCACGATGAAAGATTGCTTCTGGGCTCTGGGGTCCTTATTACCATCATATCCATCATCTTCTGCTAGTACCAAATAATGGATGAAATTCAATCAGATGCCAAAGAAGTTCTCAGCGGGAGGATTTGCAGAACCTAGCCTGATACTTAAGCTCTCGTGCTGCAGTGATTATAGGGAACCAGAGTGGCAGTTTTTGTGTGTGGTGAGACCAAATGTATCATGCACTGTATGAATTGTGATTTATTTTTAAAACATTCTTGCTCTCAATGGCTCCCCTTTTAATAGTCTCATTGTAGCCTGTTTATTGTTACAGATGTTATTTTTAAATGAGGTCATTGAGCTTTCCTTTACTTCCAAAGGCAATGTTTGCCTTTTTATTGCTGGGTTGGCAGGGCCGCCTGGAGAACAGCGCTAATATGAGATCGAGGTTAAGGCTCCGGACCCCCAGGAGAAGAGGCAGAGGGAAAACCTCTTCCATGTGAACACACACTCACATCTGCCTTCCCTCTCAGGAGAGACCGTGGTCGCCTGAGTCCAGGTGATGACCTTGATGGTGGTCGCCTGAGTCCAGGTGATGACCTTGATGGTCGTCGCCTGGCAGAGCGGAGAGGGGACAGGCGTTGTGGACACACACTGGGTTGACTTCTTTCTTGTCCACTGAAACCTCAAGCAGGTCAGAAACCTCTCTGGTCATGGCTTCATATCTGTACCTTGGGGATGATAATTTTGTTACTACTAGGATTTTCATGAGGGCGAAATGTGCTGCAACTCCTTGGTGTGTGGGGGGCAGGGTAATTGCTGAAGGTGTGAGGCACCGAACATGCTTCAACAAGTCCAGCTTGCCACTGATGTTTGTAAATAAGCTCTTACTGGCACACGTCCACATTCATTTATGGCTGTACGTGGCTGCTTACACAGTATAGTGGCAGAGCTGAATAATTGCAACTGAGACCACGTGATGGGCAAAGCCAGAATCATTGATAAACTAGCCCTTTACAGAAGTTTGCCGACTGCTGAGCCAGACCAGAGGATAGCCATGTGGTATTCAGAGCTCTATATGTGTTTTTTCTCAAAGGCATCTCACACTTTTCTTTCTTTTTGACTTTGCTTAGACTCCTCCTCTGTTGAATTGCCTTCTATTCTATTTCCCTGTATACAGTTCTTCCAGTATATTGGGTAATACAATAGGGTTTGTTTTTTGGTCATCTTGGTATATTTTGCAACATGTGAATCTGTACCCCACACATAGTAAGTGTGTAACACATCACTGAGTTTGGTGTGGAACAGAATAAATTGTGTCAGAGAAGGGAGACAGCTCCGATTCCAGGGAGAGAAGGTAAGAAAGACTTCATAGAGGTTTGGGGACAGTATTGCACACAGTAAGGTGGCTGTCACTCCAGCTGCAGGTCAGTGACAGGGGTGCAGTATACACAGGAAAGGAGGCAACGCTGTGTGAGGTAAAGAAGACAGGAACCTGGAGACCCAGGCTCGAATTCCAACTCAACTATTTGTTGAGGAAGCCTTAAGCTCTCCATGCAGATTTTCTCAACTCTTACGACCCATGGACATGAACTAAGGCGGGAAGATGCTGGAGGGTTGGGGGGGAATAAAGGAGGGGAAATTGGGAAAACGGTAATAGCATAATTGATAAAAAATACTTGAAAAAGAAAGAAAGAGTAGGGCATGATGATCCTAACATTGCTGTGTGGGTTAAATGAGATAACAGAAAGGAAGCCTCTCTCCACGTGCTGGCACATTAGAATCGTTCCATAAGCTATTATTGAATGGTTATGGGTCTGGCCTTTCAAGTACTGTCAGTGCTGTTTCCCTCATTATGGAGTGAGCATGGCCAAGGTCATACATCTAGTCCCTCTGGAGACGAGGCCTATTAACATCACTGTTTTCCACAGTTGGAGAACATACCACAAGCCAGTAAGTATATGCTGGCCCGCCAGGGACCAGTCCAGCAAGGGGAGGGATTCATGCAAATGGGCCATTCATGTTGGAAAAAATAATCCAGGACATATAGTGTCACCATTCAATATTGAGAGTAATTGCTTCGCTTGACTTGAAACATTCTACATTTTCTAAGATGGGATAATTTTTTAAGGGACACAAAGAAAATGTTTAGTAGAAAATTTACAGCCTTATATCTAGTGGGATCTCTTCATACTACAAGCAGTTTATGCAAAACAGATGCCTGCGGAGTGGTGCCAGCATGCACCTGTGGACTTGACAGTTATATTTCATGCTACCCCCTCCTCCAGTTCTTGCAGACAACCTGAAATCCAACCCTGGAATTAAGTGGCAGTATTTCAGTTCCGAAGAAGGAATTTTCACTGTTTTCCCAGCACACAAGTTCCGGTGTAAGGGCAGCTATGAGCATCGCAGTAGGTATGTTCACTTACTTGCTAAAGTTTTAATTGCGTAAGACTGATCTGTATGAAATATAGGTTCTTCATTTACATACATGGCTCTGCTGCTGTGCTGTGGTTTTAGAGACTTGTGCTTGTTCTGCAGTGATTTCACCTGTGAACACAGGTCAAATGCGGAAGTGTTAGGGAAGAGCAAATGATAGAGTCTAGAGCTTTTCTAGAACTACCAAACAAGCCAAGTCAAACAAGATGTTTACTAAAAGAAATTGAATTGATCCAAGCACCCAAACTGTTCTGAGCTTCTGACATCTTTGGTGAGACAGAAATGGTGATACTGTACCTTCTCCTAAAGTACAGCCCTCGAAGACTTGATAGCCTGTCTCAGAGTAGAGTGTGTGATGCCCAGCTTGCCTTTCTGTGATACACTTGGCCAGCCTTTTGAAATGTGCACTTAAATCTTAGCTACGAGAAGGGTGAAGGTTGTTAGAAAACATTGGATTGAAGATCCATTGTTAACACGGAAATGACTTGAGGTTTTACGACTTAGCCAGAAGGGCAGTGATGGAGATACCGTTTGTATGACGAGACTCATCAATTTACAGAACAAACCCCTTGGGTAAAGATATGCTCCCTGGGAATCCCCACGGTCTTCCGTTTGCAGTGCCAGGTGTTTGATCCAGAACTTGTGCAGTCAGTGCAACACGCCCCCTTTTCGGGAGTCTAAATTAACTGGAGCTTCTCTTCATCAAATTTTCATTTGCTTCTCAGAAGAGAAATTAGATGGCATGCTGTTTTTAATGAATCACCTGTGAGGGATAGTCCAAAAGCAAAGCTGGACCTTGTCACAAATCAGCATTCACCTACACTTGGGAGGTTTCATGCATCCCAGCTCTAAAGAAGTTGTGATTTATATACCCCACTGACGCATTTTTCACCAACTTGCTGTGGCACCTTGAACACATGTTCTACTTATAGTTATGTGAGTTGAGTTAGAAAGAGGAAGGTGTGTCCTTTTTTAAAAATCTGTTCACGTAGCTTGGAGGACCTAAAAAGTTCAATATTTCACATGATTGTCAGTGTTGGGATAGTTAGATTTTCTTCTTTTCGGTTCCCTCTTTCATTTCTGTAGCCACTTCTCCTGGATTCTTTTATCCCATTTCCCTGCTGGCTCAATGGTAGCGACTAGTGGCCCTTTAGTATTAATGCAGGACTTCGGGCTTGAGAACGGCAGTGTCCACTTGGCCACATGTTGAGGGTGTTTGGGACTTAGACTGCATTTCTTAATTTGTGCCCAGGCTTTTGTGACTCAGCTGGCATCTAACATTTCACAGAAAAATCTAGTGTTCAAGGGGTGTCAGTAAAGGAGAGCATTCTCTTGAGGCTGATTTGCTTTCTTAAGCTCCCCCTAATTTGTTCCAGCTTTAAAACCGTGAATAGAGACCTCATTAAACCTCTTCGCACAAACAGTCCTGTACTGCTTTGATGGGGGGCATTTCTCCTTTGGAGCTCCACCCACCCCCCTTTTCTTACTGTTAGCAAACAAAAACCTGGCAAGAAGAGTGGCTATCACAGGCTTGGACAAATTTGATGGCACGGTTTTAAATGCTTAGATAAGGGGCCTTTTGGTGGCTGACCTATGTGAATGGCTTCAGTGCTGAAAGGAAAGGGCCCTCTTAGCACTAGCCTTTGTCTTGAGGGGAGAGAAACCAAACCTGCTATTCAAAGCAGCCCAGCATGCCCCCAGATTATGGGCTGCCTGAGTCCCACTCTGTCAGTCTGCCAAGGAAGACCCTGCACTGGCAAGCGGACCTTTTTCTCCCTCTGATGCTCTCTCTGCAGCTTGAAGGCCCCCCCCCCCAGTCTATTTCCTTGTAGCAGGATGTTAGGTAATGGTGGCAGCATTGTCAGGAGCAGCTGAGATGGTTGACTTTTGAGGAAAAGCTAGCCTTTCAAAAGATTTGCTTCTTAAAACCTTCTCCTGGTTGCTTGAATCTTTAGAAGACATACATTACCAATCCCCAGTCTGCAGACACACACTGTTGTCTTGGGGTGTTGTTTCCAGTACGTCTGTGTAGTTCCCCGTCCTATGCCCGTCTCTCCATGTTTGTGTGCCCGGTGGAAAAACACATACTCATCAGTGTGCCCACACATCTGCCATGCTCACAGCTGTGTTAGGTTGGGGCCTTTTACTTAAACCGGGACTGACTGCAGAGAGCTTCTGCTCCTTCCAGACCTATCTACGTCTCTACAGTCCGGCCGCAGTCAAAGCACATAGTAGTGATCCTGGACCACGGGGCCTCCGTCACGGACACCCAGCTTCAGATCGCCAAGGACGCCGCCCAGGTCATCCTCAGCGCCATTGACGAACATGATAAGGTGACCGTTATCCCAGTGACCCACCTGGCATTGGCTCGGCCTTGAGCACATTTGTAAAAGCACTTATGTCTTATGACGTATATTTTTAAATCCATCTTTAAAATGACATTGGGGAAAGAGAATGGCTTGGTTTTCACTCTAGTATTTGAGGAAGCAGCTCCCAACTCTGATTCCAAGTCTCTTTTCAAACCACCCCCACCCAGCCAAGGCTTGCACTTCCTTTATGCAGCCTGTTAAGACTTCTAATTAGCTGTGACTTTCACACTGGGAGTTATGCTAAGGAGCAAAAGGGAGGGCTTGGATGTTGGTGGCTGGCTGGACTTTATCTGAAGGTGGGTGGGAGGGAAGGGAGCAGGGAAGACTGCTGGAGGTTTACAAATCTCTAGGACACCTCAGAGACAGGTGTGTTCATAGCTAATGGTAATCTATTGCCTGTGGACATTTTCTGCTTCATCATTTTGACTTTTCCAACTCCTAAGGTTTTACTCACTAGTGTAGTTGTTCAAAAGACACCCCCCACATCTTTCCCCCAACCTCCAGTTGGAAAATCAAGATAGTTAGTACTTCCTAAGATTTTTTCCTGCATGAAATACTTTTTTTTAACGTTGTATGTGAACACCATGCCGCTGACTTCATCTTGGAACAAAATCAACCTCTAGGATCCCTCCCTCTTACCAATCCTTAACTAATCCTTCTCAGATTTGATAGATGTGTGCCTCCAGGCATTTATTTTTAAACTCTCAGAAATCTGTAGGCATTCTCATTCCTTAGGCTCTTTTGAAATTAAAAAAAAAAAACAAAAAACACCTTTACGTGGTAGGATGACAAGTTTCTTTTTCTTTCCCCCAGATCTCGGTGCTGACTGTGGCCGACACTGTCAGAGCCTGCTCGCTGGACCAGTGCTACAAGACGTTCCTGTCTCCCGCCACCAGTGAGACAAAAAGGAAAATGTCCACCTTCGTGAGCAGCGTCAAGTCCTCGGACAGCCCCACGCAGCACGCAGTGGGGTTTCAAAAGGCGTTCCAGCTGATTCGAAGCACAAACAATAACACCAAGTTCCAAGCGAGTAAGTGCATTTTCTCAGAGGACTTATAAACTAACGGATAAAGGATGGCGATAGGAATACATTCTAAATGGATCACACCACAATGTCTAGGGGGATTTCTTTTTAAATTGACTTAGGAAAAAATGTTCGTGTGTTGTCATAGTGGTCATCTCATGCTAGGGTCTTTGCTAGATTTTCTCTTCTTTTCCTATCAAAGCTACTCAATCTGTACAATTTCTTCACTCCCAGAGCCTCCTCTTTCTGCCCCTTTATTAAGAACATATCCCCATGTATTTCCCAGGGGAACACCCACTTCCTTTTTCATGCTGGTTGTCAGCCTTGCCTCCTCATTGACTTAGAGTGGATGCTTGCTTATGCCCAGTGCACATAACCGGGGCAGCAGGAGTCCTGGAAGAGGGAGATCCTTCCGTCTTCTACCCAGCTGTCTTTTAGATGGGCATTGCCCTCCATATGTACAAAGGTACTCTAATTTAATTTTATGTATCAAAGAAAATCTGGAATTAGGATGCATACTAAAAGAAAGGATATTTGAAATAAGACACATGCTTTGAAACTGCTGAAAGAAATCTGTACATAATTTTCCCTTTTGTATTTGAAAATCTATTTGTAGGGTTTCTCTTTAAATGAATGTCTCCATGAAATAAATTTAAAGAGTATCTTTGTAAGCTCTTAATTGTGTGTGCATTAAAAGGAAGGCAGCATGGATAAATGCAAAGCACAGTGCCTGGCACATGGGGGACCCTTGAAAGAAGGAAGCTGTTCTAATTATTGTGACTAGTGATGGTAGATGGCGCATGAGTTCTGTGTGTCCGAGTATTATCATCTCACAGTTTCCATGAGTCAGGAGTCCAGGTAGAGCTTAGCGGGCTGGCTCTCTGTTTGGGATCACACAAGGTCGCAGTCCAGCTGTCAGCCAGGTCTGTGGTCTTGCTGGAGGGTTAGAGTCCTCTTCCGAGCTCAGTTGTTGACATCATTAATTTCCCCGCAACTGTAAAATCCATGTCCGCGTGCTTCTTCAAGGCCAGCAGGAGAGTGTCTCCTCTTCTAGCTCCTCACGTCAGGGAGGGCTTTAAATTTTTAAAGGTCTGGTCTGTAGATCAATCAGACCCACCCTCCCTTTCAATTTAATGAGGTTGAGCTCCCTTGTGATCGACTTATTAGAGACCTTAATTCCATCTGCAAAATCACTCCATCACCTTTGCCACAGTCTTTTGCTTAGAAGCAAATTACTTGGTCATGCCCACACTCAGGAAGGGAGGGGACTATGCAAGAGTGTTGGTCTTCGGGCTCATCTTAGAATTTCCCCAACCAGCCCCGAAAAGTGCCAGCTACTGATGACCAATATGACAGGATGGCCAAGCATAAAGTTCCCCACGGTTCAATAAGACTAGTGGATAAGGCTGACCTCTTAAATATTCAAGATTCATGATTGGCTAGTTGGTCAATGCCATTTACCTGTAGGTGTCATCTTCCAGGTGCCGTCTACCTGCTGGCATTCCTCAGTGGAATTGTTCTTTCTACTTGATTCTTTGGCCATCAAACCAGCTTTGGAGTTTAAGTCCAATTTTGATGAGTACACTGTTTAAATCATGGAGAGAAATGTCAGCCTGGCAGTGACCAGGTGGTGAGTCTAGTGAGCCCGGGGTAGGGTGACAAAGACTGTTTGCAGGGCATCATCAGCTCGGGAGCGCCTGCTCCGCCAGGAGGGCAGCTGCTCTTCTGTTTAGCCTGTGTTTCCGGAAAGGAATTTCTGCCCAGTGCTGCCAGATCTTCTGTTTCAAGAGAAGCCAGAAATCTGGATTTTTATGTGAAATCCCTTGATTTTCAAATTTTAGCATTTGTTCCAGCTCTAAAACTGTGAGTAGAGAGCTCATTAAATACTCTTCTTACAAATCTTCCTACACGGCACATTAGCAGAAGGCTACTTTAATGGGAAGCATTTGTCTTCTATGTGTTTTGTTTGTTTTTAATGCATAGAGTAGTCTTTTTTAGGCCAAGTAACATGTTTCTCAGGTTTAGCTCACAGGCCTCCACTTAAAGCTTCTCCTGACAGATTGGAGAGGGGAAAAAAAGCCCATGGGGTTGCATAAACAAATACTTCAGGAATTAGCATTGTCCAGTTTATTCAGGAGAGATTTGAGGTGCTCTCAAGCAGTATAGCGTAGTGGTTAAACATGCGGGTTTTGGATTTCAACCAATGTGGTTTCAAATTCCTACTTTGAAATTTTTCTAACCTTGTGAACTTGAGTAAATTATTTGATCTCTCCAGGACTGATTTCCTCATCCACAAACGGGGTGATAATAAGATCCAGGATTCCATCATAAATATTAAATAAATGTAGCTGTGGTTATTATGATATTCAGTTTCCTCCAAGACTTCCAGCTAACCTAGAGCAGATACCCCAAGCATCCTAAATTGACCTCAAGCCTAACTGTGACCAAGGCCCATGAGTAGCCTTGGCTGCAACACAGTGAGGCGTCTGTGTGCTCCTCCTAGGAGCTTACACTGTATATCATTCCTGGTCATTCCACAGAAAATCATTTAGCACCTACTCTGTTCCTGGCACTGCTTTAAGTCCATGGGGTGGGATTATTCTAATGAGTCAGACCTACCCAGTAGGATTGTTGTGAGGATTAATTTGCGTGAAAGTGAAATATTGACCCCGTACTAGTAGCCATATAAACAAAAGATACATGTCATAAAATATTGTAGCTTTGCACTAATAAGAAAAATCTAAAACTTTTATCTAGTGCTGGGTCTTTTTCAGTCATATAATAGATCTTTAACTGATACCATCAATACATTTTGGTTGTTTGTCCTGGGTTGGTTATTGGCATGATTGGTTGGTGGGTCACTTTATTTTTGATGTTGACCCTAAGACATGCAGACAGCCTAGATAGCGGCTTGCCAAGTGGAGAGTCCATTGCATTGTCTTCTAGGTACATGCTATGTTGTTGCTCTGCCCCAAGTCTCTATAATTACTCAGCCCTGATATTACTAATCACAGGGTTTAAAGTTCTACTGAGTGACTAGACAGAATATTCTAATACGTAAATCAGACCAAAATTTGCAGGTGTGGTGTCTAAGAATAGAAAAATAACTCAATTTTGATTGAAGACAGCACAGGAATGGAGTCAGGGATAAGGCCGAGGCAGTGAGGATGCTCATCAAATGTGTATCTTACTGTGGGGATAGAGAGAAAATGCCCTGGCTGCTGAAGGAAGCTGTGGGCTGTAGGCCTCCTAGCTTTCCAAATACGGGTCTGTGCCCTGAAACCAAGTCTCAGTGACAACGTACTTAGAATCATAAAGCTAAGTAAGAAACTCAGTGGGGTTTCTTTTAAGTCAGTGTTACCGGTGCATCCAGGAATTTATCACACGGTACGTTTGCCATAGAGCAATGGATTTTCTCATAACATTAGAACAGTCTGAAACTTTAAGTGAGATGTTTGCAGGTGTGTATTTGCAACATTGGAAAAATATCACCTAGTTTAAGACAGGGATATTCCTAAGCTTATGGGTATTTTGTGTGTCTTTCATCAGTATTCACTTCCTAATTTCTGATAAATAGTGTGATATAAGTTTGAAGTTAGTGTTTATTAGAGAATTATTCAAGCATCAAAATGGGCTTTAAGACATGCTTATATGCTAAATCTTAGTAGTAACTAAGGGATAGCAACTTTGAATGGATTTACTTCTTTGAGTCAAATTGTATTAAATCAGTTCATTTGCCTGCAGCATTGATTCAACATAAATGATCTATTCAGTGCTGCATAATAAAGGATACTTTCCAAGTCTAATTTGGAAATCTTTAAATTGCAAGAACTTTAAGCATGGTATCCTCAACATTGTGAGGATAATTTTTTAAAAGAGTAACTGTATACATTATCCTTTGCTGGTTGACCAATTACCCCAAATCTCAGTGACTTAAAATAATAAGCATTTATTATTTTGGCAACTGTAGGTCAGGAATTGGGGCACAGCCTAGCTGGGTACCTGTGGTTAAAGGTGTCCCATGAGGTTGCAGTCAAACTATTGGCCAGTGTTGCTGTTTTCTTGAAGTTCAACCCAGAGAGGATTTGCTTCTGGGTTCACTCAAATGGGTGCTGGTGGGATTTGATTTTCAGGGTCTTGATTCCATGCCTCTCCACAGAACAGCTCACTAGATGCCATCTGACTTCTGTCAGGGTGAGAGAGCACCGGAGGTAGAAGCCACTGTCTTCTTATAACCTAACCTCTCCCATCCCCTCTGCTGTGAGTCGTTAACTCCAGCCCACACGCCCAGGGAGACTACTGCCCATGGATGCTAATGTCCAGTGGTAGGATCACTGGGGGACCAGCTTGGGGATCACCTGCCACAGCAACTCTGCAGCAACCTCTAATGATGACAGCAATTAGGGCCTGAAGAAATAAGCATTTCACATATTGTATAAATATGTATTTCTCAATAAAAAATGCAAACTGATATGCAGGATGTCTTACAAATCTGTATTGAATCAAAGAATCTCAGATTAGAAAGAAAATGTAAAAATCAACTTCTCTTCCTTCCTTCCCTCCATTAAAGCCATAATTCAGCCTCGGTCTCTGGGTCTGTAATGCAGGAAATCTATCCTTTTTGTTTTTGAGTAAATCCACTTGAAAGGAGTTCTTCACACTGAGCTAAAATGACTTCTCAATTAACTGTACCCACTAGCCTTAGTAGGAGTAGTTTTAATCTTGAGTCATAGATGCTACTTGACACCACTACACGAGTTTTGTTTTGTGTTTGGGTGTATGTTATGGTTTCTTCTTTTGTCTTTTGCCCTCTATTGGCCATCACCCCTCTGTTTTCAGTCTTTTCTTAAATTAACTGATCAGTTCTCCCAGCACCCCTGTGAAGTTCTGTCATCCCCATGTTGTGGACAAGGATGTGTAGGGAGGTTCAAAAATCTGCCTGCATCACCCAGACACAGCTTATAGGTACCAGAGCCGGGAGTTGAACACAGGCAACCTGGCTCCTATGTCTATGTTTTATTGCTCTTCTACTCTGGCGAGTTTTTAAAATAAAAATGGTTTGGAACTACTTAGTATGGGGAAAATAACGGCACACATCTCAAGAGCCCCTGGAAAAACCACCATTTTTAAAGGCTAATCCCTCCCCCAACAAGAAAAAGAAAATGTGCATTCTTGGCAAGAACCCTGAGTCACTAAGGAAAAGATTAAATCAGGTTCTGAAGCCTCATTTGCAGAAGGTAGAAGAGACTTCCATTTCGGATAGCTAAATTACCTGAACCATGGGTGCCTAAAGGAAATCTCCTTTTATCTGGTAAATTTATTAGGAACACTTCTTTACCTGACAGCAGATGAATGAGGCCTCGTTGTCCACAAAGGGCAGCAGGGATGAGAAGCAGAGGCGGGGAGATGAAAGCCCAACATCAAATGCGAAGGAGCAAGAGCAGTGGGCCAGGCGGGTCCTCGAGGCGGGAAAGTCCAGGGGACTTGACAAAGAAATGGAACTGCTGCCTGTAGCCAGAATCCAATGTAACAATTTGTATGTTTTTGTTTAGATACAGACATGGTCATAATTTACCTGTCAGCTGGCATTACATCAAAGGACTCTTCAGAAGAAGATAAAAAGGGGACTCTCCGCATCATCAATGAAGAAAATAGCTTTCTAAACAACTCCGTGATGATTCTCACCTATGCCCTCATGAACGGTAGGTAGTGTTTCGAGATTTTCCTTTCAGATGAAAGTTCTCTCTAAGTGTATGCTGCTTTCATAAAAATAGAAAAGAACCCTCACGGTGTGCTTTGATGAAGGGTGTAAGGAGAGGGCACCTAGGCAGCTTCCTTCCTGAGCCCGGCTTTCTCTGTCTAATGTGGGCATTCAGGATGTGTGTTAGACGGTCCTTTCTCTTCGTCTCTCCAGCCAACTGCTCGTTCCTAAACCTTCTCTAGTTATGTGGTCTTGCAGAGTAGTCTGCACAACTCCTTTTTTTTTTTCCTATTTCTCCTTCATATTCTTGGAATTCCATACTGCATGGAGGCAACTAAGTTTTCTCTGACTTAAGGAAGTCAAGGCATTGACCTGCATTCTTCTGCAAGACTGTGAATATTACGTTTCCCCATAGACTCACACCCTGAAGCCTCTTCTGCTACTTGTTCCTCCTCCTATCTTAGCTGTATGATAGAGACAAGTACTGTCTACTTGGCAGGGTTGTTGTGGAGATTTGCCCTACGTATTAAACACCCAGGATAGTGGCCTGACACCTGCAAGAAACTTGTTAAAGTTCTTGTGGTGTTTTTTGTTTTTGCTGTTAAATCGGACATTAATTATATGAAAGGATTTAGTCCATTGGCAGATCTGAGGAAATGCTCAATACCTTTCCTTCTGTCCCAACCTGTCCTCCAGTCCGACTGCAGCTCAGTGTTCAGGCCTCTCTGCTGTGTCTGGTCTCCCTGCCTGTTAATGTGTTGCCCTCTCTCAAAACATCTTCAGGCCCTTTGTTCTCTGTTCCAGGTGGGTGTAGGCTCCTTTTTCGAAGACGCCATGTCTCAATCCAGCACCCCTTTCCTGCCTATAGCCTTTATTTCTCTGATCCACTTCCAGAGTTCCATGTAGAACCACTTGGCTTTAGGGACAGTGGTTCTCATATTTTAACGTGCTGAGGATTACTTGGAGTTATTTTTGTGAAAAGAAGACTCCCAGGCAATGCCCTCCGATTTTCTTTCAGGCCCTCTTGGGTGGGGTCCTGGAATGTGAGTTTGGGGCCACATGGTCCTCCCCCAGGTATTTTGTGGACTGCACGTGGCAGAGCACCAGGTGTGCCGTCTAGAGGTTCCGGCTTCCAGTCTTCATCTGTTAGCCGTGGGGCTTATTGCAAGTTACGTCATTGCTTTAGGCCGCAATTTTGTCTATAAAATGAAGGAATAAAATATACATAGGGTTGCCATGATGATAAGTGAACATGATAAGATGCGTTTAAGGTTCCTGACACAGCACCTGGTAAGCAACCAGTCCCTCAGAGCAGGTGAAGGAAAGAATGAAAGACTCTGTGATTTCCGTCCCAGGACGGCTCCGAGGCAGAGGTGCTTCTCCCCGACTCTGGGTCGCTCCCCAGGGTGTGTGCATAGTGCTGTGTGAATGTTGCCTGTTAACTGCAGTATTGTGCTCACATACATACTGGTGTCTCTTCCCTCCTCTTTCCACCGAACTTGAGCTTCTCAGACAGGAGCAATGCTTTAGTTTCCTGTGTATTCTGAGCACAGCCAAGGTAGGTAGGGATGGCCTGTTTTTTGCCTGGGACACATACTTTCAGTGTTACTCTGAGTGCCAGTCTCTCTTTTTTCATATGGCTAGCTTCTTTTACTCTTAAGAGGAAGGAAGGGATAGAGATAAGGAAGGGTGTGTGGAAGAAAGGAAGGAGAGAGGGTAAAGGGGGAGGGGTCAGAATGGGGAAGAGAGGGGAGGGGAGGTAAAATTTATCAAGCCTACAATGTAACCTAGTGCACTGAGGTTTTAGAACTGTATCATACAAAGTCCCTGACCTCGGGAAGCTTATAACCTAGTGAGAAAGATAGACAGACAAGGCAGATACATTGAATGCAATAGTACAGGAGTAAGGAAACATAAAAGGAAGTGATCGCGTCTTTCCCGCTGGATCTGAAGGTCTGCTCAGGCAGATGCTGAATACAGAGGCTTCCTTGCTCTCACCCATCTCTTCACTGCTCCTAAATCTCCCCACCAGAGTATCTTCTGTACCTGTTCTGCCCCTGATAGTTTCCTTCTGGGAAACCCCTGGCTACTTCCTTCCAACCACCCGTCTCTCCTTGCTCCCTTTAACCTAGCCAGACCCACAGCCCCGCTGCCGTCTGTGCCCCTCACGAGTGCCGTCTCTGCACACGTTCACGGGCACTGACCCGCTCCCTTGCTCTGTCAGTTAGGCTTCAAGTAAAGAAGCAGGACCACTCTGAGAATTCTGGTATAACAGATTTATTATCAGGATTCCAGTGTACAAAATGACGGGGAAAACTGGGAAAGTAAAGAAAAGTTGGCAATTCAAAGTTTAGCATCCAGCTCTGGTATGGGTGAAGGAGTTAGAGCCTGTAAGAATCTCCAGAACCTAGACAAACTGAAGACGGTTAGGAGGCCTGGTGTGGAAGTCGATGGGAGGCTGTTGGCTCTTCGTGGCTGCTGCCTCTGTGAACTCCGAGTGAAGCGTCTGGAGTGGGATCACCCTCGGTGAGCCAGCCAGCAGCTGGGGAAGGAAACTGGATCGGATCAGAGCGAGTGAGACAAACTAGGACATTCTGGCCCTTCTGCATCTGTCACCATCTCTCACTTCTCCCCTTAATCTCATGTACTTCACTTCTGTTCACCTTTAACCTGGAAGCATAAAGGGAAGGAGATTCTGGGAAATGTAGTTCCTAGCATGACTGTGTTGATAATAGACTCATCCAGCATACTTAAACCAGTCGGCACCTCTACTGCCAGCCCTGTATAACAACATTTCTTGATAGACTGATATAAAATTTCCAATCTTTGATAGCCTTGCATCCCACACTTTTCTTCCTTAGCTAGAGGATATTCCTATTAATTACTTTTCTTTTACATTTTGAGAGCACCGAGCAGTACATGACAAAGAAAGAAAATGTATTTATTGCCTTAACTTGTCTCCTTTTATCATTCACCTCTGGGAGCATCTGAGCTTCTCAAGTGTGGAAGGTCAGGGATCAGGGATCATTCGTGTGTTTTGTGTTGCCTTTTACTCCTAAAGGTACCACTTACCACCCCCCTCCATCTCAACTTTATGTCACACATAGGGAACAATAATCTGGTTCTGACTTTCCTTAAGCATTGCATGAGGGGAACAAAAGCCAAGTTATTAAAATACAATATGTTAAGAAAAAAATGATATCCATTAGATACTGCTGTGACTTTAGAAATAAACTCACAAGGCTTAGAGTGTATACACCCCCCGTTACACAGTGCTAATGTCACATGAGGTAGGTGAGCCGTAAACTCTTTGGATTTTTTTTAATGACTAAATAGTTCAAGAACATGAGGCAAAGCCTTTTGAAAACTCATTGGTAGGATCTCAGTAGTGATTGAAATCATTTGAATTTGTTTACAGTGGTACCCATATGGGATCAGTTACTAATCCTCTTGACTGTGTTCCAACAATAGCAAACCAAAATTTTTAAAGGTTTATTGAATTTTGTGCTATAGATTACAGATGTTGCAGAACAGTACATCCCAATATGCCTGAATCTTTTACAAGCTTTAAAACTGTCTAAACTTAAAAAATGCACATAAAATACATCAAATCCAGTGTTACCCTGACAATATCTTGCATGAAAACATTTGTAATTAAAATGAGCTTAAAGACACAGTGTTTGGAGGCATCCTGAATGCAGTCCATAATTCTTGCATTCAGTTGCACAAGACTTTGGCGAGCATTTAATAGGCAAGGAGGTAAGAAATGAAATGGTAAACCTCTGTCCTTTAAACTCTTACAACTTCATCTACTAATTTAAATTAAATGCAGACTTCTTAGTCATGACTTTGGCTTTCAAATGTTAAAAGCAAAAAAAATACTTTACATATAATTAAACTTTTAGGGAAGAATATCTTTGCTAAATGGGGCTTCTTTATTTACTCATGTGTTTTTCATTGTTGCCTTTTTAAAAATATTTTATTTATTATTTTTATAGAGATAGGAAGGGAGGGAGAACAAGAGGGAGAGACATTGACCAGTTGCCTCTCATGTGCCCCCAACTGGGGACCTGGCCTGCAACCCAGGCATGTGCCCTGACTGGGAATCAAACCAGTGACCTTTCATTTTGTAGGCTGGCACTCAATCCACTGAGCCACACCAGTCAGGGCATCATTGTTGCTTTTTAAAGAACCCTTTTGCAGTCTTGGCTATTTGAGGAAAGACTACACATCAGGCTTTGTTCCTCAGCAAGAGCTGGTATCCGTGTCCTGAGTCCAGATTGTCTCTGCAAAGACCTCTTTGGTGGAGGGGTCATCATTTGGCAGAGGCATTACAAGACCTCAGCCACGCCCTAATATGAGCTCTAAATGGCAAAGTTATTATAGAAATATGTGCCATGTTGCCTTACATTGTCTTTCCTTGTCTTCCCATTTCAGATGGGGTGACTGGTTTGAAAGAGCTGGCTTTTCTAAGAGATCTGGCTGAACAGAACTCAGGGAAGTATGGCGTGCCGGACCGGTCAGCCTTGCCTGTGATTAAGGGAAGCATGATGGTGCTGAACCAGCTGAGTAACCTGGAGACCACAGTCGGCAGGTTCTACACCAACCTTCCCAACCGAATGATTGACGAAGCTGTCTTTAGCCTCCCCTTCTCTGATGAGATGGGAGATGGTGAGTTTGGAGGAAACTTCCTGCTAAAAGAAAGGGAAAGGGAGTGGATGTGAGTCCACGAGGAGCATAATTTTAAATGTTGTTCAATACCTGCCTGTGAGCATTGGAGGGTCTGGGCAGGTGAGGGAGTGAACATTTCTTTCTCTGGTCAGAGGGTTGCCTGACCCCACGGCATCCTATTTCTTCCTCATGGCCCCAGCTCAGTCCACACAATGAGCAGGAATATCTAATTGTGAGGCTTCTCCCATATCTAAAAGTTAGTGAATTGGAACTAAAGGGTACCTTTGCATAGCTGGTGGTAAATAAAGCTCAACAGTGCTTAGAATTCAGCCTCAAAGGCAAAGCAACACAGTGTAGTCAACAAATACCGGCGTGGCATAAGGGAGGATCTCGAGTCCCACTCTGCAGCTGAGTTGCTGTTCTTGGTAACTTAGTCTTCTTAATTCCCATTTGGTCACCTGTTAAAAGTGTAATAACATTTTTCATGTAATTAATTTTTGAGGTTATCAAGATTATAAGATTTATTAGTGCCTGGCATTCTTCTCAATAGTAATTACTGCTCTTGTTTTATTTATTTATTTTACCTTTGTTATTATTGCTATTATCATTATCATCCTAATGTCACAATTTACCCATAATTTATTATTTTGTTTTTGTTATTATTACTATTATTATCATCATCATCACCCTAACGTCACCCTAATGTTGGGTGAAGTGTTTAATCTTCACATGATTAAATTTATTGGTCTATAAAATGGGTAAGATAATATTTCCCTCAATGCAGTTGTGAAGATTAATTGCACTAATATTTGTAAAGCATCTAGGAAAATGCCAGGCCAATAGTAGATGCTCAGTAAAAATACCACCTTTTTCTTTTCCTTCTTATACTCTTGCGTATTCTTTTTCCCACATCCTTCCCTCTCTTCTTCCTTGACAGAAAAGATTGAAGAGGCAGTTAATTACTAGCCAAACAGACAAAATCACCACATAAGATTTGATTTTCATGTTCCATTAACTAGGGATGCTCACAAATACAGGTATTCAGAGGAAACTCGTGTATAAAAAGTAACAGCCTCTAGAGAGCGTGTTTTCTAGAATTAGGTAGACATGTTTTTTCCTATAAGGAAGAAATATGGTAGTTGCTGGTACACCCTGATTTTTTTTATGCTTCCTATTTCTGGCAGGCCCCACGGAAATGTATAGGGTAAAAACACCCACCTTTAGAAAAGGTTACTTTCTTTTATAGGGAATGTCAAGCCTCAAATGTGGGTGACCTTTTATTCATTTAACCAGTATTACTGCGTGCCAGCTAAGCGTCATATCAGGCAGTGGTGGGTAAAGCAAACATCCCCCCACAACAAACATTTAAGTCTGATAAGAGAAAGAGAGGTCAATAGGCTTAGTTAATGTCCATCATCTCACATAGTTACATATTTTTTTCTTGTAATGAAGACTTTTAAGGTCTCTCTTAGCAACTTAGAAATATACAGTACAGTATTGTTAACAGTAGTCAACCTGCTATACATTACATCCTCAAAACATACTCATTTTATAACTGGGCATAACTTTTCATAAGTTTTGCATGTTGTGCCCACTTCCTCCTCCTGTGATATGCATGTGATTGGCCTTGACAGTCATGGCAACTCAGCAATATTTTGTTGATATTACCAAGTGGACCTCATACCCAATTCTCTGTATAGAAGCCCGTGCCTTGTAGAAAACCTTAAGAGGGTCCAAAGCCCTTTCCCGCATATTTATTGAAGGATGGCTTTCTGATGTGCTGCTAAGGCATGAATGTGCCATCAAGCCCAGGAAAATACAAGAGGAAGATGGAGAGAAGCTGTTCATCTTTTTTTGTTTTGAGCTTTATTTAGAACAATAGCATTGTAGAATTGTATGGGATCTTAGAGATCATTTTGTTTCAGCTCTCCATCTGATACACAAAAAGTCTCATTCTGAGAGGTGGCACAACTGAACCCAACGCAGCAGTGGAACCAGCAGGGAAGCACAGCTGTCCTGATGCTCAGGGCCTGCATTGGCCTGCTGTCACGCTCTCGCCTACACATTTTCCTCCCCTTTGCTTTTCTCTTTCCCTAGCTGTCCTAGTGTGTTTATATGGCCTAAGATCCAAAAACTGTTTTTTTATATTCAAATCCTTATTTTAAAAAAAGTATACGTAACAGACTGTATAACCCACAAAGCCTAAAATACTATCTAGTTCTTTACATAAGTTTGTAAATTCCTCATTCAAGTGACAAGAAATATGTTTCTTTGGAAATGTAGTGTCTCCTTTAGCTACTCAGAGTTCTAAGTGGTCAGAAAACAAGATTCTCTACCTAAGTTTTTCTCTCCATCTTCCTGTTCTTTTGGATAGGATACATTAATGAAGCATAGTGCCTTATAAGCTTTCCTTTATCCGTAATGTCTTTTCATCTCACAGCCCCTAGAAATCAGTACAGCAGTTACTATTATGTCCATTAAACACACATGGAAATCAGGCCTCAGAGAAGTTACGTCCAATGAAATATGCATGATACACAAGGGGCACTGCTGGGTAGAACCCGGATACTTTGATACCTTGTGTCTTTCAAGTTCAGCTGAATGTTCCCTACCCCAGGAAGTAGAGTGATGTATGAAGTGCTGATGATGCTTGGCATTGATCTGGAATATCATGTCCATTAAGGTGAAAAGTAATGGAAAATATACACATTGCCTCAATTTAACTGAGCTACCTGAGCTCCCAAAAGTCTCTATTTCCCTAGTACTCTCATGCTGTCGGGAAACGCAGTGATTGGTTACTGGATCACACCGGAAACTTTTCTTCCCGGCGAACTTGAGATGGGTGGTAGCAGCCTTTATGGCTCACTAGCGTGCGGCTCCAGTCCTCATCCTTCTCTGCTAGTGTTCGGATTTTTCTTTTTTTAACCCGTAGGTTTGATAATGACTGTGAGTAAACCCTGTTATTTTGGAAACCTGCTTCTGGGAATTGTAGGTGTGGACGTGAACCTGGCTTACATCCTTGAAGATGTGACGTATTACCAAGACTCTTTGGCTTCCTATACTTTTCTCATAGATGACAAAGGTAATCTGCTAAAAATTAAGCATGGGAAATAGTCATTTCTTCAGCAACCTGAAAAAAATAACCTGTAGATATTCTGATCCTAGCCAAGTAGAAAATGATAGTATTTTTACAAACATGGTGTGACTAGGACTACTATTTATAGTACAACACTATAAAAATGACAGAATGAATCTAAAATTATGCATTTGTTCCTATGTTGTGTTGAGGGTTAGGTAATAGCTATTTGTAGCATCAGGAAATTGGACTTGAGGGTTGAATGACACATAGGATGTGAAACTTTGGGTAGATATTTTTTTTTTTTTGCATTTTTGGTCTCTATTATTGTCTTTGGATTCACTGGCATGAAGGTTTATATGATGGATTATAACATTGCATAAAACGAAGACAAGACCAAGCACCCAGTACCTCCAACATATTCTTGACTAGACAGATGTTTGATAATTTAAGACATCTTTCCACACTTCAGGGGTTTTGTGCAAAAACACATGAACCACATTCAGTTTTTGTCGGGCCGGTGAGTCCGTCCTGAGAAGCGGAGCGCTGGGCAGCCATCCCAGAGAGTTCCACGGTTCCCTTGATTACATCCCCTTCTGCCTGCAGCCGTTTTCCATGGCCTGTGTTTCTGTTTTCTTATTTCAGGGTATACACTTATGCACCCGTCACTCACCAGGCCATATTTACTGTCAGAACCCCCTCTTCATACTGACATCATTCACTATGAAAATATCCCCAAATTTGAGTTGGTTCGGCAAAATATTCTCAGGTAAGGAAAAGGTGGGGGTTGTAGCATTTTGTTTTTCTCTGAGAATAGGATCCTTTGAGGTCAAGCGTGAGTGTTTATTACAGGATACAAAGCAAGTGTATAAATTGTTTTAATGTTATCAATAGTATACTCACTAATTTATTTCCTAAGACTAATAATAGCCCAAAACATGTTTACTTTGAATAATAGGTAAGGTCTCTCAGAACTGTTATTTGGGAGAAATGTCTGGTAAGTCAAAGTCTGTGTTTACATTGCCTTTAATTGTAAAATCAGATATATGTTATCTCATTTAAAAAAGAATACTCCCATTGTACTGAGTTGAAAAATGTTGGCGAAATAAAAGGTTAAGTGGAGGACCAGCTCTGTAGCATGCCAGAAAATCGCTTGGCAAGGTAGTGTCCATTCCAAGTTGACAGTGCAATCATATACAACATGTTCTCTTGAAATAAAAAACAGATTGGATTTTTTCCAACCATGATACATTGTTTTGGCAGATGGTAACCTATAGAGAAATGGGTCTTTGTGCTCATTGGTTTTCAAGTAATAACTGAGTGATTTGAGACAACGTAGTTTCTGGAAAGAATTAGAATTGGGGGGTACCGAGGTGGAGAGTAAAGAATGTTTTTAGTGCAGAGCTGATGTAATGCTTTTAGAAAATTGAAAATCTTGCATTATCTCTTTAAAAAGTGATGAGCTTCACTGCTTTTGAAAATCTGGAGGTGGTCATTGACTCTCAGCTTCTCCCCAGCCTTTAATTAAGTGCTTAATTTTTATCTTCCACCTGAAATATTCCGTCCTGTTTGCCAACGCAGCCTCCCTCTGGGCAGCCAGATTATCGCAGTGCCTGTGAACTCATCCCTGTCCTGGCACATCAACAAGCTGCGAGAAACAGGGAAGGAGGCGTACAACGTCAGCTACGCCTGGAAGATGGTGAGTGAGGGCGGCGCCTGGGCGGGCTGCTGTGGGCGCAGTGCACTCCATCACGCAGAGATTCTGGGGACCTTAGGTCAGGTGAGGTTACTCATCGGTTTTAAAGTGGTTGGAAAAAGAAGAGATGCTTCAGATGTTTTAGAACTTCTTCCCTTTTCTATTTATAAAACCAGGTATTGTTCATGATGAATAAGCCAAACCATATAAAAGGATAGAAAGTAGACAGTAAACTGTACTCTTCCCTCCACCCTGGCTTTGACCTCTTGTTCCCCAGAAGTAACCACTTTGGTCAATTTTCAGAAACTTTTTATCCAGCCCTGACTGGTGTGGCTCAGTGGGTTGGGTGTTGTCCTGCAAAGCAAAAGGTTGTGGGTTCGATTTCTGGTCAGGGTATATGCCTCGTTGCGGGTTCGGTCCCTGGTTGGGACTCATATAAGAGATAGTCGATATTTCTCCCTCACACTGATGTTTCTCTCCTTCTCTTTCTCCCTTCCCAAAGTCATTTAAAATTTTCTTATCTACACACAGGCATGTGTATCAGTGTATGTGTGTATGTTCATGTGCATGCATGTTTAATGGCTGCGTGGTATTACATAGATGGACCAAATTTCTGTAACAGTTCCCTGTTCATACACATTTAGGTATTGCCCAGTTAGTTTTTATCATTTTAAACTCAAATTTTGGAAGTAGGGAATTTAAGAAAGAGATATGAAAGCATAAATGCCCTCTGCTAACATATCCCCAAGAAAAGAAACTTTTACGTTAAAATTTAGATAATTCAGAATCACCACAAGTGGGTTGGCAGTTTAGGCATAACTGGTGGCGCCCACTACAGCTTTTCCTACTAGCCTCCTTCAGACAGTGGGCCGCAGGGAAACACAGCCTAACGCACACCATCCACACTACTTCTGCTTCTGTCCTTAACTCCCTCTTCCAGGTACACCATGCATGCTGTTATGGGGCCCTTGGTATTGTAATTGACCAAAAGAAGAGTGGACTTTCATTTTTATCATATAATTTTAATTACTAATGTTCAAATGCAGTCACACTTGAGCTTTCCTTGGATGGCCATATCAGGTGTTTAACCTGTTAACTCCAATTGGGTCTATGTATTCATCCCTTTATGAACTACTTATTGAACATTTATTATGAGCTAAAAAGAATAATACTCTCTCGGCCTTCATAGAGCATCCAGCCAAGTGGTGGATGCAGACCATTAAAAAGCTTCGTGCAGTGCCCGTGTCTGGCATAGGAGTCACAAGAGTTAGAAGTAGCCAGGATGATTTAGACATGACTCTCCCTCCTCTGACCTTGTTATTTGGTTCTTAAAGCATCTTATGACAATAGCAATAGCTACAATGAAAACAAAAACAAACAAAAACAAAATAATAAATGAAACTTTTTGAGAAACTTATATTTATAAGCTAAATTCTACTGATATTTTATTGTTCAATAATACACATTTGAGGAAGGTCAAAGTCTTTTTGAAATTCTCTGAGTCAGTTCATTTTCAGGATTTTTTTAGAATGATTGAATCATCTTCCTTTATTTTTATATATTTAAACAGTTTTTTAAATGAAGATGAAGTGCTTAATTCTTACATCAGAAAGTTTGAGCCAGAAACCAGAATACTTGATTGAACCAATACTTTTGCACTTGAAATTGGAGGTTTGTTACCTCCAGTCTATCCCGATTGAAGCCAACTCAGTTACATCCTGGGAAAATATCTACCTTAATATGTGCTGGAATTAAAAGAGAAAGAAGGGAATGTAGCCATTTTTAAGACCTTCTTTGTATAGAAATAAACCCAATGTTAACATTTTAGAAAGAAGTATTATCTTATTAAGATAGGGGTTTTGTTTGTTTATCTGTTTGTCTGTTTAGTGATGCCGGTAAATTCTGGCCGCTCTGTTCCACCAAATGGGTATAATCATTTAATCAGTTGAGGAAGAAGCATTAGCTTGCTCAGAGTTCTGAAATTATCAAGAACATCACTATCAAGTGAAAAATGAAAGAGTAATAAGTAATGAGATTGGAGTTTTAAATAAAAGGCTGGCCTGGTTGCCTGGCCTTGAGAGTAAATATTTTTAAGCCTTCTTGAGTTACTTTAGGGGAAGGTACTCAAGTTGTTTTTAGGAATAAAATAGGTTCCTCTACTAAATAATCCAAATAGACTTAGCCTATTTTGAGAATAATTGGTTAAACGGCTTAGCATCTTTACATGTAACATATATTGATGGGTTATTTCACTGAATTAATTTAAATATAATGTGAGGGATTCTGTTAGGAGCCCGAAGAGATTACTGCTCTATCACTATGTAATCCAAGTCCATTTTCAAGCATTTGAGGAGGCTGCATGCTCTGAGGGAAGGAAGTATGGACTCTTAGAAGGCATTATGATGTTGCTGTATTACACAGCCATGCTTCACTTCAGAACATGGATCCCATGGGCAGTCGGTGACAAATCCGCTCCTCAGTCACAAGAGAGCCCTTCTGGAGACACTATAGTCCAAAAGCAAACTGGTTTTCCGGGAAGAACATGATAGAGAGACCTATACTGAAATCTGGGTTCCTTGTAGCTAAGAACTATTCATAAATATAAATATTTATAAAGTATTCTAGGGTAACTTTGTTTTTAATTGTTTGAAATTTTTAAATGACAGTTGGTGTACAATATTATACTAGTTTCAGGTATAACAACATAATGATTAGACATTTATATACCTCACTAAGTGATAACCCCTATAGGTCCAGGACTTGGGGTAACTTCATTTTTGTCTTACTAAATAGACACAATCACAAACTTATATTCTGGTCATTCTGGTAAAGTTTTTATCTTTTGGTTCCTTGGAACACGCAGCACAGGAAAGTAAGAGGAAGGATGAATCAGTGAGTTGGGAAGAAAGGAAACAGCGAAGGCCACTTGGCAGCTCCCTGTCATTGTCTCAGTTGGTGGGTGGAGGAAGGGCATTAAATTTGCTAATCTAATTGAATATCCTCAGTAGCAATTCTTGAAAGAAGTTTCAAAAAGATGCAAATTTCTCCTGTGTTTAAAAAGATTCTGCCACCATCCTCATAAACCCAAAATTTCACTTAACTCTAACCTCTGCCTAGTTAAAATTTTCTTCTTGATCATTAAGTAAATCCTTTGAGCTGCTTTAATTCTGATTCAGCTGGTCATCACTCTTCATTTATTTACATACTATCTTTTAAATAGATTCTGTCCGTCTCCTAACACAATGGACTTAAGGAGATTGGCACTCTTATGTTTTTAAGTCAAGGAGCTAGAACTAAGTGGCTCAGCTTGGTTTTTGATACTTTGGTGGGCATTTTTTTTTTCACTAAATTTTATACAAGGATTCATTTTTAGGAGCAAAGTGAGTTTGAAAGTACTCCCACATATGAGCTGAACAATTTAGGCTCAGCTACAGCACTTCACATGTCCTGGTCTAAAGGGATGCATCAGGCAGGCAAATCCTGGTCATGTCCAACTAGGAAGAGAGAAGGTTGGATAGAATGAATAAACCAGATTCTGTATGGGCTGTATATGTGGATTCATAATTTGCTTTTAAAATAGGCATTTCTTGAAACCCTCTTTGCAAAACCAACTATATACAGGCTCTAGCACAAATAATGTCCCATATTTTATTACAAAATCATAAGCATGCATTCTGTAACATCACAATATCACAGTCAAGCACACCATATGACATTTGGGTGAATTTTTCAAATTAAAAATATAAATTATTGCACCCGTATTATTACCCTACCAACCACACCCAAGCAGGGGTTACTTCTGCTGGACCCTGTATTTTAAATTGCATTTCAAACCCCATAGGAAATAACAGTTGTATTCTCATGCCATGTTCCAGTTTAAATAAGCAAAAGGAGGTTGGGGTCGCTATTCAAAGGAACTAGATTTTCTAATCCCTTCATTAGCTTCATGATTTTCTATTACACACATGAATTTTCCTCTATCAGAAAGGAAAATAGAAAACATAAAATGTCATCTTTGCCAGAGATATTGTCTGTCGTGCCATCTTCATTTTTTTCTTTCACTCATCAACTCATCAAATATTTTTCCATGTGGGACAGAGGACAAAGACAGCAGAATATAATGCAGGGCAAGGTCACTATTCCCAGGAACCCTCGTCTTCTGTGTTAGAAGTTCATTATTGATTTTTTTTCCAGGTACAAGACACTTCCTTTATTCTCTGCATTGTGGTGATACAACCAGAAATACCTGTCAGACAACTGAAGAACCTCAACACTGTCCCGAGCAGCAAGCTGCTCTACCACCGGCTGGACCTCCTGGGCCAGCCTAGTGCGTGCCTCCACTTTAAGCAGCTGGCCACTCTAGGTAAGGCCTTGCACTTCTCTGCTTCGTTATGGTCTTACTCATAACAGCTCACCATAAATGTCAGTTTGAATTAAAAAAAAAAAAAAAGATCCTGGCTGGCATAGCTCAGTGGATTGAGTGCGGGCTGCAAACCAAAGTGTTGCAGGTTTGATTCCCCGTCAGGGTACATGCCTGGGTTGCAGGCCCTGACCCCCAGCAACCTCACACTGATGTTTCTCTCTCTCTCTCTCTCTCTCTCTCTCTCTCTCTCTCTCTCTCTCTCTCTCTCCCCCCCCTTCCCTCTCTAAAAATAAATAAATAAAATCTTTTTAAAAAAAAAGACGTTGCACGTCTGCATTGCCAGTTTGGGGATGCCAACGTGAAAACAATTAAGACCTTGCCTTGGAACTGTTTCTCCAGCAAACACTGCGGTGAAGATTTGTGTGTTGATTTATTAAGGATGGGCTCTTGGAAAAAAGCAGCAACAAAGTAAGGGAAACAGGATAGGGAAGGAGGAGAAAGCAAGCAAGAGTTTAATTTTAGGTAAAGTTGCAGCCTCACCTAATCTAGTAGGGGGGCTTTGGAGTTTAATTATACTGCAGAGTTTGCCCGGACTCAAGAAAGGTGCTGGACTTCCATATTCCATAGTCACTTTCGGCTTTCAGCTAGTGCTTGCAGAAGAGGCTTTAGTAGCCCAAAGACAGTCCATCAGAGAGAGTTGTAGATATGGCTCGGTAAGAGGCAAGCACTCAAATGTGGGGGTCAGGGGATATGGGGACTGGGGGGTATACAGGGTAGGAGTGGAGAAATAGTGAAAGGAGTCCCAGAATGGCATACCTATGTATCTGTATAGCATTCTGTATCTACTGTAGGTCCCTGTCTTCAAACAAGTTTAGGAAATAGGCAAATGATTTTTAAAAAGTAAAAGGGAATTTATATTTGTCATATGTTACATTCCTCCTCGGAGTTGACCTGTTACAGATGAGGACATTGGGTTTGTTGGAAGTACAGACCGCTCCCAAGGTAACACAGAAAGCAGCAAGGCTGGGCTGTCACTCAATGGCCCTCCCGGGCCACAGTGCCACCTCTTGTAGTGCCTGCTGCCGTGCTCCAGGCCCGTGCTAGGCATTTGTGGTGTATGTTGTCAAAACAACACAGTACACTCACAGTACCCTAAAATAGGTATTCTCTTTTCCACTGTTGAAATACTGAGGGTTTGAAAATCATAACTAAGTCATTAGACAGCTGGCAAACTGAATTAGAGGGGCCACAGACTGGAAGGGGATCAAGGATAGAAGCCACCAGTGCTGACATATGAGAGCCTGTGCTTGGTTTCCCTGGTTAAATACTGTCCTACAGATTCTCTCTCGATATGAGATCAGAAGACCAGGACAGACTAAGTAGGACGCATTCCAGCCAGGACACAGCAGAGCCCAGATTCAACTCCATCTGACTCCACATCACATGCTGCCTCCTTAGTCCTATTAAGTATGTTATGTGCAGGTCTGAGGTATCTTGAACATTGGCCATTTCAGGCACTTGTACGTGTTTGTACATGTTTCTCTTCTGGTTCACTCATGACTGTAAGCTCCCTGAAGGGAGAGAAATGTGGCATTTTTCCTTTGTAGCTCAGTGTCAAGTTCTTTGCTCTCCTTATGGGAGACTCTGTGCCACCACGGCTGATGGTTTGGCAGAGCCTTAGGGATGCTTCTGTTTGGACCTGAGATGAAATCTCATCGTTCTCAGGCCTGCTTTGTCTGCTCTCTTTCAGAAAGTCCAACCGTCATGCTGTCTGCTGGCAGTTTTTCCTCCCCCTACGAGCACCTCAGCCAGCCAGAGACAAAGCGTATGGTGGAGCACTACACAGCCTATCTCAGTGACAACACCCGCCTCATCGCTAACCCAGGGCTCAAGGTGAGCCCTGGTGTAGGGCCCATTTCTGGTGTGCCCCTCCTCAGGCCTGGGAGGGCATGCTGGCAGGGAATCTTCAAAGTGGGAGCCCAGCTCTGGATCTTTCCTTTTTGGCTGCAGAGCCAGAAAGACAGTGTGTGGCCCTGGGGAGGTTGGTTGGTGATGACCCTTCTGATGGATTAAGAAGCCCTGTGAGCCAGATGAAGACTTTTGGGGGGACCTTAGATGCACTAGGGGTTTTCTAGGTGGGGCGTGTGCTTTGGAGATCAGTAAAACTTTCCCAGATCCATTTTTCCCAGGAGAAAAAAGTAAAGTGCCCCTCTTGTCTGTCTAGATAAATGTGATGAAGTTTAAGGATCAGAGAGTTAGCTGGGCTGTGTGTGTGTGTGTGTTGCTTCACTGTAGGATCTTGCCTCAGTAGGATGAACAATGGAGTAAATCACACATTCACACATCCACTGGCTGTATTTCAGTAAGCTTTTGTTTTCACCAAGTTTGGCTATATCCATCTGCTGTGGAAAGATTTTTAAGAAGTAATTGGGCTTGGCTTCTCTGCAAGAGAGCTTTGGGAAGCCCTGCCAGCAGTCCGCTCTCTTTTCATGTGCGTCTTAAAGGATCCCTGCTATGTCTTCCTTTGTTGCCCAGTTCTCTGTCAGAAATGAAGTAATGGCTACCAGCCACGTCACAGATGAATGGATGACACAAATGGAAATGAGTAGCCTGAACACGTACATTGTCCGCCGTTACATAGCAACACCCAATGGTGTCCTCAGAATTTATCCTGGTTCCCTCATGGACAAAGCATTTGATCCCACTAGGAGACAATGGTGAGTTGTCGGGGCTTGCATTATCAAAGGTTCCCCCCAAATCCTGGAGAGACATGATAAGTAAATACTATAAAGCAACTTCAGGCAGTCACATTAAAGAAGATACCTTCATGGCACTGAAAACACATTTTTTAATAGTTTTTTAAAATGTATTAACAACAGCTTTGTGGGTTTCCTCTGTGTACAGTGTTTTATCTTTTCATTGAAATTTTGAAACTGAAATGCTTTATGCTCAGCCATTTCAGTTGCTAGCGATTTGCTTGGTTCCTGCCTCGTGTGCAAGGTGTCTGCAGGGAGTTTCCTTAGTGTCATCATTGCACGTCATTATGGCATCAAATTACAGCTCATGTACGACCTATGAAAAATGAGCATGTATCAATTCAAAGACTTTTTTTTTACTTCTGGGCTTTCTTTGTACTCTGGCTTTCAAAAAACAAATGCTGGTCAGGTGCTATAGCAGGGGAGCAACTTGGGCATGAAAACAAAATTTCTAGTCTTGTGCTACTTGGTAACCAAGTCACTACTGAGTCAGCTATCCATTTTACTGCCTGTTCCTCCCCACTTACCAACCCAGGACGCGTTTCTATGTGCCGAATTGTATTTGTTTCTATTTCATTCATTCATTTCTCTTTATTTTAGCCTGTAAGACACCTATAGAATAGATTCTATTAAAAGTTCAGTTATATCCTTAGTTGAATATCGTTTTTAAAGGAGCATCTTATATTTTCTGACCTCCTGTGTTGATGCTATGGTCAGACATTAAAGATATGAGCTATTTCAAATTTTATTGTAAATAGGCACTATTTATAATAAATATTTTTGACCTTTTTAAAAACTTTGTCATTCAGAGTTTGCATTCAGTATTACATTGTGTTAGTTTCAGGTGTACCGCGTAGTGGCTAGACCATTGCAGACATTACAGAGTGCTCCCCCCGATATTTCCAGTAGCCATCCGGCCCATGATTACATGATTATTCACTGTATTTCCTGTGCCGCACTTTACATCCCCATGATTATTTTTAACTGCCTATCTGTACTTCTCAATCCTTTCACTTTCTTCACTCAGTCCCCCATAAATATTGTTTTGAGTTGCAAGCTGTCTTTTCTTTAAAACTTACAGAGTTGTTCAGACCCTAAAACAGCATGGCTCTCTTTGGTCTCCATTAGGTATCTCCATGCAGTAGCTAACCCAGGGCTGATTTCTCTGACTGGCCCTTACTTGGACGTTGGAGGAGCTGGATATGTGGTGACCATCAGTCACACAATCCATTCATCCAGGTAATGCTTTAATCTTTAGTCCTTTCTTGAACATAGCAAGGGTATTTTGAAAATTTGAATAGACTGATGGCAAAAGCATGACCTTTGAAGTGAGGCAAGTTGAGGTATATTTTCTTCAGCTGTGTCACCTTGGCTTCCCCATGCTTCCTTCTGCCATCTGTAAAATGGGCATAATACTACCTCACAGGGTTGAGTCATGAAGAGCTCATAGCCCTGTTCTTGGCAGTCAGGATGGTGCTTAGGAGGAAGAAAAGGAAAGATACTAGACTCAGTAGAGCATGTTGTAGAAATATCAGTCTTAAACCAATCCAAGAAACAGCAATAGGATCCTGGCAATTATCATCACTAGAGTATTTTCCAAAGGAAAGGAACATATTTGGTGGAGGGAAAGAAGAATCAAGATACCAAATTTATGACCTCTTGTATTGGGGTCTCTTTAGAATTATATAGGAGTTTGTTGTTTTTACTTTGTCTTCTCACTGCCTCCTGAAAAATAAAAGGGCATTTTGAAAATTGACTTTCCAGGAATGCTACAAAATGTCACTGTCAACTGTAGATAGAGAGTGCTTTATATTTCCTGTTTTTGAAGTTTCCATATTTAATCAGCAAATGTCAGTGAAGTGTTGGGTGGAGAGGCAAGTCAAACACCTTGAACACATTTTTAACCCCTTCATTTTACAAATAGTTATTTTTTTCTCTAGCAACCAAGAAAGACCATATTTTAACTGGTACATGTAATGCTGCCTTAAAATTTGTGGGAGACAAGTTTCCTTGCTTAACTTTATGATTTCCACTGGTGCTTATTATGTATCGAGTGATTGACATTCAGTAGAATTCTTCTAATGCAGGTTCATTGGGAGTAAGAATTGGGAAGCAGGGCTGTGTGGCATTTCATCGTGACCTGTGTCTCTGCAGAAAGCAGAGCCCTGCCACCAGCCAAGTTTTGATTCCTTTGCAGGGCACTGTATCTATTTGGTTCTGTCAGCTGCTCCCACACTGTAATATTTCATATATAAACAAGGAAATACTCATTTCAAACAGACTTTTTCAATGTTTTCATTAACAGACCATCTGCCAGGCATACGCCTACTATTGTCTGAATGGCAAGATTTGTCATCACTTGTATTCTAGTCAGTTGAGAAAAATAAACAAAGGTGATTTCTTTGAGGGGACAGCAGTTACCTTGGACTTTGATGACAATGGAACAGGCTCTTAAAGGTATCATAGGGAAGCAGGTTGAAAACAATGACCATGTGTTTCTTACTTGGTCTCTGGTGTTCCAGGCTTCTCCCACCTGCCACTCGTCATCCGTATCCATTAGCTTTTCCCCCTCCCTTCTATACAGTGTTCTTTTTCATTGGTGCAGTAGGGTCGCCACTGGGAGGTACAGATTTTAATGCTCATATTCATCAGTACATGTACATGTTTTTGGGAATTTGAATGGGTGGGAGAATTTTCATTGAGCCTATTTATAAATATTTATGATATCAGTCCAAATGAAATATGGAAATATTTCATGATGGAATATGAAATATTGTGATGGAAATATGATGGGCTTTCAAATTAGAAATAGCGCATTTTGCAATGTATGATACCAAAATTTTTAGGGAAAAATAAGGATATGCATTATGCATGGGTAGTACTAATTCCATATCTATTTAAATGTTTTAAATTCTTTTATTTATGCTTATGTGTTAAAAGTGTAACTCTTAAAAATGCAAGAAAGCAATAATGATATCCATATGCAAAATAATACCCTAGAATATGATCACTGGTTTTGTTTCTAAATACAAATAAATAAAAAATCAAATTAAAAAATTAAAATGAAAGATTTTTTTCCTGAAAGTTTGGGCCAAAAACATGGGTGCACATTATACATGGCAAAATACAATACCTAGATTCAGCTTCCTTATTTGGGTAGTTTTTATAGTGTGTTTAACACAAACAAGTTTGGTTAAGTTTAACAAGAGTTCAGTTGCCATTTAAATCCTGGATTCTGTCCACCAGTCACTCAGGGAGAGTGTATTCCAAGAATAAGTATCTGTTCATGCCTTGATTAATGTACAGCATCATGGACTTGATCATTTGAACATTTCCTTAGCTGAGCATGCTTTTATTATTTTAAAGCCATGTATTTTTCATTCAACACAGTTTAGAATGCAAGGCAGCCATCACTTCTGGTTCTCAACCAAAGCATCCACAGCTTTAATGGATGTATTAGTAGACGGGCTCTCTGCAAAGATAGTTTTTTCAAATAATTACTAGTGATTTTGGCCTTGTGTGCCAACTTGTGAACCTAATCTCCTAAAATGTGATTCTACTCTGAAAATTTTGATTTGCCATTTACTATTTGTATGACTATAAACAAGTTCCTTTTTGCTGTGGTTTCCTCACCTATGAAAGAGGGATATTAGGGTCTATCTCAAATGATTATTTCATGGCTACATTAAATAGTGTATGCGAAACCCTTAGAACAGTGCCGGGCAGAGATAAGAATCCCTATATCAAATGATAAGAGAATTAGTGATGATGTGTATAAAATGCTTAGCGCTGTGCTTAACAATATCAAATCCCAAATAAATGACAGTTATTTTCATTATCATTCTATTCCTGCTTTCGATTTCTGACATTTTAATCGGAGAGAAGAGGGAACTTTAGCTGATGTTCACCATATCAGGAGGCATTCTCATTCACCCCTGGTTTATATGTGGTTTGGCTGATAGCCTGGGGAGGAGTTTTTCTGGTTCGTTGTGCACCCACCAGTTACTCATAGTAACAGAGCTGTGGTTCTTCCATAAGCATTATAAGCGGCCTGCGAATCCAGGTGTGCGTTCTTGGGAGGGTGATAATGCTGATAAGGATTATAAAGTTTGGTCATTGATTAAGGGACTAATCAGATGAGTCTTCAACAGAGAGCAAATCTCACAAACAGTATGGTTTATTGTACTTAGAAATGTAGGGTTGGTTTGATTTTTTATGATAATCTTTGTGGGTTGTTATGGTAACAGTGTACATTTTTGAAATGCAGGTAAAATATGAACATTAGACTTACAGGGTCAATATGCATGCTTTTACTTCAGCTTGTTGATCATATTGGAACAGATGGCAATCAAACAGGGGAAGTTTAGAAACAAATTAACTCGTCCCCAAAAACTAGAATTGTGTTTTTTAATGGAGGCAGCTGAAGTATTGTAGAAAGAGCCAAATTTGCATGTTGGACTATATACCATAAATAAAAGGTGATCAATCTTGTTTAAGTCTTTTAACCATTCCAAACCTAAGTTTTTATTTTTTTAAGTAGTGACTATAATTCCTTTCTGATGTCTCTGCAGGGAATTAAATGGAAGGAGACAGTGTAGCCTGATGATGAGGAGCAGTATAAACTCTGGAGATGAAGACACTGAGTTTAGCTTTTTGCTTCCACTAGTTATTCACTATGTGACTTTCTTCTCTAAGTACTTAATCTTCTCAAGCTTCAATTTTCTAGGAATGATATTACCCATATTTTTTGTGAAGAAATAATGGAAATGATATATACAAATGCCTACCAGAGTGTCTATAAATTGTGAACATTCAGTAAATAGAAGCTGTTCTAATACCATAATGTAAAGTGATAAAGTCTTGAATTTCTTCTATGGTAGAATTTAAGTTACTTCAGTAAAAACGGGGCTCGTATTGAGGCAACAGCCTCTCAAAGATAATCCTACAACATAGTCCTTCCCCCATGCCATACCAAACACAGTTCTGACAGCAAAGCTCTGATAGAAATGTTTGTATGGGCCATGGTCCCTTTCTCTAGTGGTTGTTTGTTTGGAGGGGGTGGTGGAATGAGGCTGGGGTTTGCGGTGATATAAGCTAGTGTCAGTGTTGGCAGTGACCGGACAGGGCCAGTTGTCTACATGGCAAAGCTAATTTTACTCCCAAGTTGTGATTTTCCAAAATAGGGTTTTACTTGGGGAAATTACTTCTGAACTTTCCAATTAGTTTTTTAAGGTTTTGGGGGGGGGGGGGTTGGTCAATAACAATGTCATTTTTCTTTTGGTATTTTCTTTATAAAGCGATCATTTGGGTGGATGATAATGATGATGATGATGATGAGCTCTTGGAACGTGCCATGGTAGATAAACGTTGAAATTCCCAGCCACAAAAGTGGCCAAGTAACCAACCCCTTTCAGCTGCTCATGAACATAGATTAAAAAGAACCTCAATTCCAAGTGAGAAGTCAGTGCTTCTGCTATATCTAGCAATTTCTCTAAAAGAATAATGGATTCCCTCTCTGTCTAGGACTGAACTTTAAGCTCTATTTAGTTCTCTTCAGAATAACTCTCATTATATAACACCTTATCTGGTGTTTTTGATGTTTGGCAGCTTGCTAAGCACACACTATCTCATTTCATCCCAATAACAGCATTATGAAGTAGATACTGTTATTATCCCCATTTTCAGATAAGAAAACGGAAGCTTAAAAAGGTTAAGTATTATCCCAGGAGCCACATAGATAGAAACCAACAGGGCCAGGATTTGATCCCAGATCTACTTGATTCCAGAGCTAAAAGGGTAAGCACCATGTCGCACTGCCCAACTGTGTCTTCCTTGGTGCTCCTGTTTCTGAGAGCAGCATTGTAGAATGAGGAAAGAAATGGCCTATGAACCAGGAGAGTGTTGTTCTAAAATATGAGCTCTGTTATGGGTGCAACCAACATTAGTATTATAAAAAGAACTAGACATTTTTACTAAATTTTTCTGTGACCTTACACTAGACAGTTAACCTTGGGGACATCTCAGTTTCTTTACCTGTAAAATGAAGGAAATAATTAAGGGGCTCGCTCGGGCTCCTTGTCTAAAGGTTCCTTGTAAGGAACCATAGTAGCTATGCATCCCACCTCCTACCTGATGCCTGTTCCCTCCCGCCCCCATATTCTTGCTAACGAGTAATCCAGTCATTGTCTGAACATCCATAGTCAGAACTAGCCAAATCCCTGCCCACTAGATGGGCTGCTCAATTTAAGAAAGTGCTACCTTTAGTCTTAAATTTTTCTCTCATCATATCCTCATGTTATGCTAGCTCAGTTATTTAGTTGTTCATTTTTATAGGAGTGGAAACTCTAGGCATGTATGTCTCATACCATACACTCTTCTTACTATTGAACATACCTTTACCTTTAGATAAACATGCCTCTTCTTCTCTTTGATCTTTTTCACGTGAAGCACACAGATGTCGTCTGGGCACACTGTGGCCGTGATGGGCATTGATTTCACGCTCAGGTACTTCTACAAAGTTCTCATGGACTTGTTACCAGTTTGTAACCAGGATGGCGGCAACAAAATAAGGTGAGCCCTTCGGTGGCACCGTTTCCTCTCTAGCTGAGAAATGCCAGGGAAACAGCACCGGATATCTCTAGTCGAATGGCAGCCACATTGTGGAGGTCGGGACCAAAAATTGAGTCTCTGTTCTAGGTGTTCTATTAAGAAGGTTTTTGAGGCTTTTATCTTTTTCTCAGTTGCTTACCAGTTGTAATTTAGATAAACAGACTTGGCTCATAAGCAGGAGAGTAACAGTGGCACAGAATTCTCTGAAAGTTCTTGTTTCTGTAGAAGTCAGTAATCAGAGGTTTCCTGTATTTGGGGTGCCAGAAGGACCAGAGGGTACTCTTGGATAGTACTTTTGATGTTAACTTCGTTATCAAACCAAAGTCTCTCTGAGGCGTTTCAGGCACTTACACTTCCCTCTTACATTTCCCCAGAAAGAGGCTCGTGTGACTAAAGTCTTTGCCTGAATTTCAAAAGAGCATGTCTGATGAAAGCAAGGACATTCTCTTGATTTAATGCAGGCCCCTTTTAGAAACAGCTTTCTTGTTTCACTCTCATGCCCCATGTTTCACATCACAGCTAAATTTCACTTTGGGCCTTAAAGGGGAAATAACAGGATTCATGGCAAATTGTTATGAAGAATGTAGAGTAAAATAGAGCAAAATGTAGTCTTGATTTGAGCAGTTCTGACTTTACTTATTTCGTATTTCCATCAACTATATTTTTGTTTATATCCTGAATGTCCTAATTGATGTGATACATTTATCATTGAAAGGAGAAATTGTATGGTTTACTTAAACTTTGTGCCCATAAATATTCAAGGCCACTCTTTTGAGAATCTCCCTCCTCAAAATAAAGAATAAACTTCGTGCTTATACTTCGTTGCCAAAGACCTTCAAGTCCAACCTACTTGGACAGGGTGGCCCCATTGTGTATGAGCTATGTAGGTGACTTCAGAGGCAAGTGTGACTCTCTCACCTGAAACTTTGTACCACCAGGTGATCCACTACTTAAAGAACAGTGTATCGGTCTACCTGTCAGTCATGCTTCACTTTATCAATGAATATTTATTAAGAACTTGAGATAAACGCAGTTTGTTTTGGGGCTTACAAGATAAATGCTGTCTGAAAGCACAGAAAAAGAGCTCCAGTGACTGCGTGTTGTCACTTGTTCTGGTGCAGGTGCTTCATAATGGAGGACAGGGGTTATCTGGTGGCACACCCCACCCTCATTGACCCCAAAGGACACGCACCTGTGGAACAACAGCACATAACCCACAAGGTATGTGTTGCGAAGCTGGTGGCTCCGTTCTCCAGCAGCCTGCAGCTCACTGGTGACGTGGCATTTGTCTTCTGCTTGGCCTTGTTAGGAGCCCCTGGTGGCAAATGATATCCTGAACCACCCCAACTTTGTGAAGAAAAACTTGTGCAACAGCTTCAGTGACAGGACAGTCCAGAGGTTTTATAAATTCAACACGAGCCTTGTGGTAAGTTGATTCCTTACCCCTCTCCTATCCCTTCCCACTGTGGAATGTAAAATAGAATAATGTTAATGTCTATTTTACTCTTGGCTGTTTCCTTGAATTAGAATTATAGAACGATAGGACAGGGCAGGACCTTAGTCCAGCTCCGCAGTATGACAGTTGTGGAATATAAAGCCCGAGTTCTCACACATGGCATTTTTTAGTTTTGTTTGTTCACAGGCACGAAATGTCTGCTGAAGTCTGTTCCCACTCTCTTGTATAAATGTATGTGGCACCGTGGGTTTCTGCCTTCTCATCTTCTAGAACTCACTCGGTCTCCTGGATTTCCTAAAGCCACCCTCAGTCAGTTCTTGGTCATCCACCATGTAAGACAGGAGTTCTTATGTACACCTTCCAAAAGTACTGTCTTTGCCTCAGCCGAACACTGTGTGATTTGAGGGACTGCAAACTTACCTGGGTGTGGTTAAAGATCTTAAGGATTTTCTTAAGATCGTTAGGATGATTTGTAAATAATCCTACATCGGAGACTACAGAAATGGGTAATGTCAGAACCAACATTCAAAGCCAAAGGTTATTTAAAAGAACTAAGCTTTTACAAACAACAAGTGTTGGAGAGGTTGTGGAGACAAGGGGACCCTTGTACACTGCTGGTGGGACTGCAGACTGGTACAACCACTATGGAAAGCAGTATGGAACTTCCTCAGAAAACTAAAAATGGATCTGTCTTTTGACCCTGCAATTCCACTGCCGGGACTCTATCCTAAGAATACTAAAACACCAATTCAAAAGAACCTATGCATCCCAATGTTCATAGCAGCACAATTTACAATAGCTAGATGCTGGAAGCAACCAAGATGCCCATCAGTAAATGAATGGATCAAAAAACTATGGTACATTTACACAATGGAATTCTATGCAGCAGAAAGAAAGAAGGAGCTCCTACCCTTTGCAACAGCGTGGATGGAGCTGGAAAACATTATGCTAAGCGAAACAAGCCAGGCAGTGAAAGACAAATACCATATGATCTCACCTTTAACAGGAACCTAAATAACAAAACAAAGAAACAAGCAAAAATATAACCAAAGACACTGAAATAGAGGCCAGGCTGACAGTGCCCACAGAAGAGAGTAGAGGGAATTTAAGGAGACAGTGGGAAGGGTTCACAGGAACAAACTTAAAGGACACACGGTCATAAACTAAGGGGAGGGTGATAATGGGAGGGAAATGGGGAGGGTTGGAGGGGTGACTGGATTGGGAGTAAAAAGGAGAAAACTATTTGAACAACGATTAAAATTTTAAAAAAAGAAAAAAAGAACTAAGCTTTTTATTTAAAAACAGGTATTTGTATCACTAAATATATAACTAAATATTAATTCTGAAGATATGATAGGTTAAATGAAAATCTAAACTTAGTGACCCCCCTCCTCCCAAAAAAAAGTAATTGCAAAAAAGTTGTTTGGGGGGGGGATAATTTTAAAAATGAATATATTAAAATGATAGTGTGTTCAAAGCAAGGAAAGTCATCATTACTCTGTTCAGACCCCACGTCCTCTTTAAAGAGCACACTGCGAGACCCGAGTATAGGCAGAGGGAGGCTGCCAGGAAGTCTGTCATCGGAAAGTCTCAATTACTCTGTGTCTGATCTACTTGTACAATGATTTCCTGAGACGACACCAGGATACTCCAGCAGAAATTTTTCAGAAACACAAATATTAGTGAAATACAGTGGTGGGCAAAAGTAGGTTTACGGTTATTCATAGGGAAAATAATACAGTAATTAGTAAATAATACAAGAAACTGTCTCGTGTGCTCACAACTGTAAACCTACTTCTGCCCACCTCCATATGAACTAGAATAATGTCTTAGCGGTGTAAGTTATCCCAACATGGAAGTGGAGCATTCCTATTCCTGGGTCTTGGAGCTAACAAAATGCAAAGCCCATATCGTTGCTTATATTGTAGAGGCAGGCATTGGCTAGGCAGTGGGAAATTCATCCAGACCTCCAGCACCCACTCAGAGCTGTGATTCTCAGAGATGGGCTTATTTGAACCAAGGACATCTAGGGGGTACTGGTTTGGAAACAAGCATGTGTTTAAATAACTGGCCTACTTACTACATATGACCCACATGGAGTTAAAAATGGCTGTGCTGAGTGTTGCAATGTCGCTTTTGAATCTCTGATTTTCTAGTGTGGTGGCAAATTTGGCAATTCAGGAAACTGGCTATCACATTTTCTTGTTACAGAATGCTTTCCTTGGATTTTTTAAAATATTCTAGAAGCGGGACACTGGCCTCTTAAAGAGACTTTGGTTTTTAAATAATTTTATTATTGTAAAAGAACAGTTGTTTTTATTTGGGGAGAGGGAAATGCATGTTTTCTGGTTATTTAGGTTTGCCTTTGAATAAATTTCAAACTATTCCGTATCAGAAAGCTGTCTTTCATTGATTTGTTGCATTTTTTCCACTTTATGATTATTGTTAGGTGTTAAGGAGAAAAGAGATTACAAAAACATTTATGAAAATTTTATTTTTATAAGCATAGATAAATGAATAAATGATACGTACACAGTAGTTCAATGAGAATTATCTATGATGGGATTATAAATGAATTTTACCTTCTAGGTTTTTAACAGTACTACTATTGTAATCAGAAATTAAGTTTTGTTATAAGCTATTTTCAGCACATGACTGAGGGGTGCGTTCACCATGGTGAGGCTGAGTCTTGCATTGTTGTCTTATCACTTTTGACACCTCCGCTGTCTACAGGGGGATTTGACGAACCTTGTGCATGGCAGCCACTGTTCCAAATACAGACTGGCGAGGATCCCGGGAACCAATGCGTTTGTCGGCATCGTCAATGAGACGTGCGACTCTCTTGCCTTCTGTGCTTGTAGCATGGTGGACCGGCTCTGTCTCAACTGTCACCGGTAAAAATGCAATGGGTCATATTCTCTATTTACCATGCCATTGAATATTTTATCTGATGCCAGTCATTCTGAAGTAGCATCTGCAAAATAAACAAAATGCTGGGTATGTCCTGGAGAAAAGGAAAACCCTGGTTACAGAAGCATTTATAATTTGTTATTCACCCTCTACATAGTAACTTTCTTCTTGCTTTTCAGAATGGAACAAAATGAATGTGAATGTCCCTGTGAGTGCCCTCTAGAGGTCAATGAGTGTACTGGCAACCTCACTAATGCAGAGAACCGGTAAAAAAAAAAATTATGTACTATGTACGAGAATATATACCATATTTTTCAGACTATAAGATGCACTTTTCCCCCAAATTTGGATGGAAATGAGGGGGGTGCGTCTTATAGTCTGAATGTAGCTTACCTGGCTCACTGTGGCGGGGCAGCAGTGGAGCAAGGTCACACAGATTATTAAATATTTTACCACAGTTTTTGCTTCAAAATTTTTTTCCTATTTTCCTCCTCTAAAACCTACATGTCTTACAGTCCGGTGCATCTTGAGTCTTGTTTATAGGTTTGTTTTGGGTAGAGACATAAGGCGATAATTCATTCTACTGATATAACTGTTCAGTGAGCCATATTTCAAGCTCAGTAGTGCCTTAAAATGAAGTCCACTTCCTGGTTTAAATTTAAATGCTGTGGAAGAATTAACAGTAATGTGCTATATACAAAAGATATGAGACTGTTACAGGCATTAACATGTGCCAGATATTTTATGCACATTAAGCAACTTAGTTTTCAAATTACACCTGTGATAAATATGTAGGTATCTTTCATACACACACATGCTCACACATAACATAGCATTATTGATGTTAGTGGAAAATTTTAAGACCAGTTAAATAAATTATGATAAGTCTCTTGTCCAGAACTTAAAGTGTGTGCATGCATACTAGTACAGTTGAGCCTTGAACAAAGTGGGGGTTAGGGGATGCGATGCCCCACACAGTTGAAATATGTGGAAAACTTTTGGCTCCCCAGAAGTTTAATTGCCCCTCAGTATATGCAGGGAATTGGTCCCAGGACCCTCCGTGGATACCAGAATCCGCAGATGCTACTCTGTAAAATGGCATTGAATAATGTGTAGAGTCAGCCCTCTGCATCTGCATACTCCCAGCCTCAGATCAAAAACAAGACAGGAATTTACTGGGAAAAAAAAAAGTGTATTTAAGTGGGCTCTCATAGTTCAAACCTATGTTGTTCAAGGGTCAACTGTATATGTTTATTTAGGCATATAAAAATATCTAAAAGGACTCCATTAAATTATTAACAGTGGTCACCTCTGAAAAGTAAGCTTTAGAATGGCGAGTGAGGGAAGGTAGCAGCTGCTTTAGACTGTATGTTTTCCTATTTTGTTAAATACCTATGACTTCCTCATTTATTTACTTATTTATTTTGTACATAAAGATGAACATGTCGAAGCTCAGAGTAGTTAAGTGACTCTCCTAAGACTTTATATATCTAAGTGGCAAAGCCAGGATTCAAACCCAGATCTGCCTGACACCACAGGGGCCAGGGGCACAAGAGTTTGGAATATATGTGGTCCTAACCTCTAGACTTATTCCCAAATAGAAACCCAAGCTGCGAGGTGCATCAGGAGCCAGTGACGTACACAGCCACGGACCCTGGCCTGCAAGATGCTCTTCACCAATGTGTCAACAGCAGGTGCAGTCAAAGGATGGAAAGTGGGTAAGCTGCATCCAGCACTTATTGTATGTCAGCATGATGGTTCTGGGAGCAGAACCTAGTAAAGTCCAGTGACTGGCATCCTCACTGAGCTTTCCCAGCTGGTATTTATCACTCCCATTCTTGATGTTTTAAAAGGTAGTATCTATTTTTTTCCAGATCCAAAACTGATACCCATAAGTCCTTTATCCACCAGGTTTAAGCTTGTCCGGTTTTCACTTGTTACTGCAACTTGGCATTTGTACCATGTTACAAATAGGTGAGAAAGTTATTCTTGAGGTAAAATAGGAAGGTAAATGAGTGAGGGAACGTGGCATGAAGAAGCAAGGGCAAGGAGCAGCAACTCAAAGGCTCCAGAACCAGAGCCCAGCAGTGAAGACTGTGTTTGGCGTACACTGAAACTGATCGGTATTCTTCCTGGAAAAGCAGCTTGTTTAAAGAATGACAAACTTCATGTCTCCTGCTCCCTCCCTCTCCTCCCTAGGGGTGGCAGTGGGTGATTTCTTTATTATGTATACAGCTGCAGGTTACCATTTGATGAGACAGAATTAATAGGTAGGAAGGGCAGCCAGTTCTCCTTTTGGTGTAGATTTTGGCAAAGGAATGGTAGGGCATCAGATAAATTGAGATGTTATACAATAAGCCAAAGTGAATTAAGTTTGAGAAACACTGCACATACTCTCTGGAGAGTCATAGTTCTCTTAGCTTATTAAAAGTTCTAAGAAATTGACAGTAATAAAATGTTTAACTTCCCAGGTATTTCCCAAAATCATTTGATCTTTTTTTTCTTCCTTCCTTTCTTTTTTTTCTTTTAAATGACCGTACACTTGGGGGATGTTAGTTCAGAGTCTAACAAACCTTGTGGCCATTTGGTCTTTTAAGATGATTTTGAGTATTCCTGCACTCACCCGTGCTGTGTGTATTTCCTGGTCTGACTCAGAGACAGCAGCTTCAGCTCTCATTTCCCAGTTGTTGAGGGACATAGAGCAGCTCTCCCCTAGCAGATCACTGCTGTTCTCACTTTACAAGGAAAGGAAACGAATGCTCAGGGAGCTACAGCACGAATAGGTAATGGATCTCTTGAGTGCTGTCTGAGGCCCCAGCCCGCGTGCCCCCCGCCTGACACTGCTTCCTGGAACTCTCCTCGTCGTCTCTCTGGCAGGGACTGTTTTGGCGTGCTGGACTGTGAGTGGTGCATGGTGGACAGTGACGGAAAGACTCACCTGGACAAATCCTACTGTGCGCCCCAGAAAGAATGCTTTGGGGGGATTGTGGGAGCCAAAAGTCCCTACGTCGATGACATGGGAGCAATAGGTATGTCTGTTGAGAACCCATTGTAATGTGATTCTTGAATACACATTTTTCTGTCTGAATGCTCAGACAGAAGTCTTAAACTGACCCTCTCCTTCCCTGATCCCTTTGCCAACAGTTTTTCGTTACAAAACCAAGGCAGATGATTACCTTCAAAGCTGGCTAGATATTCTCAGCAGACTGAACAGCCTTCTGTCCTGCCAAATTTTGCAAGCCTGGAATTCATTCCTATAAAGCTTGTTCTGAGAAATATCAGGCCTGATCTCTGTGTAGCTGAACCCTAGAGTCTGTTTGAATGCGAGTTCCAGCTGTCAGAGTACAGGGCCCGTGATGGGCGGAGGGACCACTGCACACCCATTTCCTGCTGCCACTGTCCCTCACAACTTCTGCAGAGCTCGAAGTCTTGTGGCTGCAAATCATTGTTTAAGGCCTCGGGGTCCACAGAAGCCAGAGCTACCCAGTGTAGCTGGAGTGCCTGAGGATGTGGGGACACTGTAGGGAAGAAAGCCTCTGGGGTCAGGCCCCAGGACCTCAAAAGTACCACCTGTACCCCATGGTCAGATTTTCTCAGCGTCTTCCCAGGGTTAGCACAAACTCCTAAAGCTTAGCTGGCCCATGAGGCAAATATTTAAGCCCTCAGTTAATACCTCGGTTATTAACGTCTCCCCACAGGAGCCTGTCTGCAGCAGCAGAGCCCCTGTGTGAGGCAGGGCTCTGAGCTCACGTGTTACTGCTGAGCCAGGTTAGCACATGGAGGAAGTGACCTTGCTCGAGAAAGTCACTTTATATGCCCACCTGCAGTTTTCTGTCTAAAAAGTGCACGTGGTGTTTTAAAGGGAACCCATAAGCTTTGAAATGCAATCTTTTGAGCACATATTGAATAAGCCTGGTGCCATTTATTTCTGTGAGATTGGTCCCCTTGTTCTCCCCTCTGTACTTCTCTTCCAAGTGCAGCCTCCCCTGGCGCTCCCCCCCCCCACACCCCGCCCAGGGATTTGGGCTCCCAACACTGGCCACCACCTATTTCTGATTCTCATCTACTCACTGGTTTTTCCAGGTCTTGCTAATTATGCTCTCGCTCTGCTGAGCAATTAGCATTTCTTCTGTGAACCAGGAATTAAATGAAATCACTGCTCCTGAATTCTGGTGCATTTTGAGGAAGTCAAAGCTTAAAGCAGCTCCTCTTATCTTCACCAAACCCCTGCCATGCTCTGTTCCTTCCCATTTTACCACCATCCCTGCTCCTGCCACTGCACTTGGGAAACCCTTACACAGGACATCTGTCTGTTTGCTTTCCTGAAGGCGACGAGGTGGTCACCCTGAACATGATTAAAAGCGCCCCTGTGGGCCCCGTGGCTGGAGGCATCATGGGATGCATCATGGTCCTGGTCCTCGCCGTGTACGCCTACCGCCACCAGATCCACCGCCGCAGCCATCAGCACATGTCTCCTCTGGCTGCCCAAGGTGAGCTCAGAACAAATCTCAGAGCTGCCCCAGCAGGCAGCAGCCGTCCTTGTTGTAGGTGGCTCCTGGGCCAGAGGACAGTGGCCAGTTGGGTGAGTCTCTGCGCCGTTATGAGAGCCGTGCTGCATTTTCAGCCTCTCCGGAGTGGATGCAGAAGCCCCCAAAGCCTGCTTTCCTCCCTCAGCCCCTTTTGATTCCCTAGGAAATTCCTGGGTCCTCCCTTTTCTTACATAGCATTCCCCCACCACAGGCTGCCTCTGGAGCAGGCCGGCTGGGGAGCTGGAACACTGAGTGGGAAATTTTCTTCTTCCCTCGACTCAGATGCATTGCCTTTGCTGCGCCAAAGACACTGGCAGACCAAAGATACCCCAAGGCACTATTGGCAAGAACATGAATTATTCTTACCGCAGCTGTTATTGTATTTTATTATATATTGTGAATGGATACACATTCAAAGGAATGATCACCTCTCTTAGAACAGGACAGGTAAATGAAGCCAGGTACAAGATGATTAATCTGTAATCATGGCTTCCACACCAAAAGTTGAATGTGGTGCATGTGTTCCTTTGTGAGGCACAAAACCGCCCTCCTTTCTCAAAGCCCCTGGGCAGATGCCGACCTGAGCTCTCTGGTGTGAGCTCACTCAGCCTTCCTGCTGCACTGGGCCAGCAGCACTGAGCTCACTCTGCAGCAGTGAAGACAGGTGATGTCGGCATGTTTCGCTCTGGCCGTGGTCCTGATGGGGGATCATGGGATAATGCAGCCTGATTTAACAGCAGGGCTAATCACGAAGCTCTTTCCCCTTGATAAGGTTCTGTTAGACTGAGGACGGCTGCCAGCCAGTGTTCACTGATGCCTGACCTTTTATAAGATTATGTGACGCCATCTCATCAGCACAGCCAGCTGTGGTGTGCAGCCCCTTCCTCCTGTTTCGGGCACTTTAGTAGAATTGTCAGTCTATCAACTTCTCTTCTGCTGTTTCTTCAGAAATCAGTGTCAGGTTTGACTGACCCCCTATTCTCTCTCTTGTGAGTCCTGCTCTCCCCTCCATTAGAAAAGAAGAAGAAAGAAAGGAAAAGAAAAAAGGATGGGGTATCTGTTCATTCTTTTCCAAGACTGGACTCATTCTCGATGGGAAGCTGTCACTCAGCCATCCGATGAGACTCCCCGGGGTGTTGAAGTGGTTGATTTTGTGTGATGAAATAGTTATGTTTCTCTCTTTCTAACGATGGGCAGAAATGTCAGTGCGTATGTCCAACCTGGAGAACGACAGAGATGAAAGGGATGATGACAGCCATGAAGACAGAGGCATCAGTGAGTATGCATGCCACGCCGCGCAGGTGTCAGCAGGAGGCTAATCCAGAATCAGTATTCCTGGTTATATCCTGTTGGCTTATATTAAAGTTTAAGGAGATGTGACATGATGGGGCCTTCCCCCCCACACACACACCCTGCCGTTTTCATTAGGAATAAGTGTAGGTGTTTGATTTGTTCTAGAAAATCTCAAAAGATTTCATGATGTTCTTTTTTAAATTCAGTGCTCTGGCCTAAGACACCTCACTCTTCCATTTTTTCCTCCTCCTCCTTACTTTCCCGCATAGTATTTTAGGAAGGGAATCCTCAAGTATGCATTTTTTAGTCCCTAAACTAATGGATACAAGTCAGGGGCAAAGGAGCATTTCTTTATCAAAAGAGAGTTCCATTAATGTTGAGATAGTTTGGCCTTCAACTACTTGGAACATATCTTGTTGATGCATGTCAGAGACAGGTAATTAGGGACCTCTCCCTGCCCCAGTTCTAAAAGCAACTCCCTTAATCCTCAGGGTTCTCTAAAAATTACATATTCTGGCTCTCCACAGTATAACCCCAGCGTGTGAGTGAGCCTGCTCCGAGAAAACGTACTTGATCCGACAGGGGTGCTGGCATGAGAGTAACTAACCATCCTTGCCTTCCACAGTCAGCAATACTCGGTTCATAGCCGCGGTCATCGAACGGCATGCCCACAGTCCGGAAAGGAGGCGTCGCTACTGGGGCCGATCGGGAACAGAAAGTGACCACGGTAAGGTCCAGCTCCCTGTACAGGAGGGGCCTGAGGAACCCATGGACTCTTGTGGACCAGTGCTCATACCCTCTCTTCTCTCTCTTTCCTGTACTGTGCTCAAACAAATTATTTTGACATGGTTTTCCTAAAACACACATGACCCTTTTATAAAGAGCCCAGGGGTGGTTTCGCATGTGTCTCAGCACTCCTGGATGTAGGTGAGACGACCTCGACACACAGAGGGCTTCCTAGGTTTTCTCCATGAATGGGGATTCAGATTGTCTAAGTGACACCTGCTTACCAGCCCACTTGATTCTCGGTAGATCAGCAGCCTCATAGGTCCTACTGTCCAACGTTGAATTTCTATGGAGACTCAGAAATTTTTTCCCAACAACATCAAGGGTTCTACCAGGTGCGTACTTTTGGGGACTCTGACATTCCCCTCCCTGCCTTCCAGCCTTGCCTGGGAGACTCAGGGAAAGTTTCATTGAAGAGGCATTGGCACGGGGCCTTGAAGGATGAGGAAGGAAAGAAAGTCAGGGCGAAAGGGCCAGTGCATACAGTCACCGAGTTGTACACAGCACCTGTAGGATGCTCAGGGGGGCTGCAGGCTGAACTGTGGAAAGGTGCTGAGGACCAAGCCAACTGTGGATTATAAAGTCCACATGTTGTACCAGAGACCGGCCACCCCTCAGCTGCTCCCCACCCCCTAGGTCCACACAGCTTGTCGTCGAGGAGAACAGCAGTCACAGCACTGCCGCAGGTGCACAGAAACAGAATCGGGGGGTTCAGACTTCTCCTGTAATTGTAAAATCCTTTTATTTTTCATATAACTGTTTAATTTTCAAGAAATATTTTCTTCTCAGAACCCGGGTTGTTTCTTTTTAATCCATAAATAATGCATTCATGCCTTCAATTCTGCTTTCTCCACATATACCCTGGAGAGGGGGGGAAAAAAACACGTCTTCAAACGGTGCTCCCACACCTGTGCTAAAAAATGCAGGTGTGGATATTCGTCAAAGCAACCAATGCGGCCTTTCACAAGCCAGCCAGGTATTCTGACTCCCTTTGGAACATAGAAGCTAAAGCTCTGAGTGTAAACTGGAGACTGTTAATTTGAGCTCTGAATGACATTGTTCCCACCAACTAAATAGAAACGTTGGATTTCTATGGAGAGTCAAAAATTTTTTCCCAGTTTCTTTGACTTTCTGCCTTTTTTCACTAAAAACCTTTGAACATTCATAAATGCATTCTGCCAGGCAGTTCTGTGCCTCTTCTCCTTTGAATAATAAAACAGATTTGAGGCTACTAAAGTTCAACAGAAATAATTTCTTATTCAGCAGAAATACTGAGTCCTTTCTGTCTCTCCCCCACTCCCTTCCTCCCTCTGCCTCTCTCTTCCTCACCCTTTCCCTCCACCTCCCCCTTTTTCTCCCCCAGTAGAAACTGCTTCAATATGAAATTGGAACTCTGAGTGCCACTGCAATTCTGAGTGACGGTGACGATGTTCCATTAGCTCTCCCATTGTCTTAGTAAAATGGCATGTGAAGCAACAGCTTAGATAAAAGGAATAGTGCAGTGTCAGTATCTGAAAGCCAAGGAATCTAGCTGAGGGCTTGGTTTCTTTCATTTTTCACAATAATTGGATCCCTGTTATCCCCAAGGAATAAAAAAATAGTTTCTTGTGCAGACAGAGTGCAACATTAAAAGAAGTGGGAGATATTAACATTCCACGTGATTCCAGATGCACTACAAAATCAATAGCACTTAACTGCATGTTTTCATATCCCTGAATCCTTATGGTGGGTCACTCAAATTGGTGGCATCGAGTGAATGTCCTTGTCATGCCCAGAGGATGAGCTGTATGTGTGTACACATTAAAGAAAGGAGCTAATCTGATTGTTTTGTCAGCACGCTTCTTACTCATCTGTGTGCTTTCCTATGTGGTGACTATTGGCATCTGCCCTTTGGTAGGCACAGGGCAGGGAGTCACAGAAAAGGAAGGTGTCATTTATGGGAGGCAGCCATGGTGCAAAAGGGCTTATAGGAGAGGGTCAAGCAGAGCTCACTTGGCATCTCACCTCTCTTCCTATTTACAGGCTGTGAGGCCTTAGCGCGGCTGCTTTGGACCTCCATTTCCCAGTTCTTACAACACGATTAGAAACTCCTCCTCAGTAGTGTTGTTGTGAGGATTAAATGCAATAATGTATGGCAGACGGGAGCTCAGGGTGGACCTCCCCGCCTCCATCCCCACTCTGCCCTCAAGGAATTTACAGTCCAGGAGGAAACCGAAAGTGTCTTCCTAAGACGGATAAAAGGCTGAATATGACAGCTTTCTTAAAAGAATGGAACAAAGAAGGTGGGAAGATGTGGGAGACCCTGGGGGGAATTGTCATCCACGGGCCCTGGAGCTGGTAGAATCAGAGGTCTGTGGTTCTTTGCTACTTGGTGAGCGTATTTGCACAGAGTTTTGGGATCTGATTCACAGAAGGAAAGTCAAAAGAGCAGCATAGATAAATATATGAATACCACACACACTAGACTTTTGTGGGTTGGTTCAGACTTGTAATATTCCTAGAATTAAAATTAAATGTTACCAGGCTGCATTTTTTTATTTAGAAATATTTAATGTGGCCAAGAGAATTTTGTAGTTCAAAATAATCTAATTTTTGTATCTTAAAAAAACTGTATTCGAAGTGGTTTTTCAAAAGTAGGGTGATCTTTGTCAGTATGCTAGGGCCACATAAAATAATTGTTGTCAGCACTCAGCTGTCAACTGTCACTGTCAATTCTCACTGTCACGGGAGGTTAAAAACAGTTACTACCTAGCTGTGCTTTCCATTAGATATCTGCCTTTGCCCATGATTCCTCGTGAAAATACCATGTTCCATCTAATCATCTACTGGTTTATTTTTAACTTAAAAACTACCAATATATATTTGTTCGTTATGAGTCTGTTTTGGTTACCATCTTATTAGAGACTTTATGCATAGGTATATGAAGCAATATATTTCTTGGTAACAGGCCAATTTTCACTAGTGAATCAGATTCCAAAAGATTCAACAGGCCAATATCGAACCTTGAAACCCTGATCAAAAACTGCACGGTGCAGCAGGAGACCATTTTCTAGAGGTGCAGATGTTATCCTGCAGTTACTCTCTGTGACCACAAGGTGGTGAGTAGTCCCCAGAGAGACCTGACATCCCCAACCATCAAGAGAAGTGTCTTGGAAACCATCAGCTGAAGAGAAGCAGACTTCCATAGATCCGAAGCTTAATTAATCTCGACTCTTCTATTAATAGACACCTGACCTCCTCCCTGAAGCCTTTGTCTTGGTGAGATAGTTTTTGCAGAGATTTTTCTGCATACACTTTTGGATAGTAAAGAATTTTTGCCTTTGAAGGTATTTGCAAATACCCTTTGTGTTTTAAACAATGCTTCCTCCTCCATGAGTCAGAGATGGAGTCTGTCTTATTCATCGCTGTTCCTGGTGCCCAACCGAATTGCATGGCACTGAGTAAACAATTAACATGTTCAGTGGGAGTGTGTGTTTGGCTTGCTCCTGCTTCTCCACATCTTGCTCCCTTCCTTCAGATTTCCGTTAATTCCTGGGATAGAAGGAGGTCTGAGTAAGTTACAGAAGGATTGAGCAAATTAAATTGAATGGCCCCGCAGTGTGGGGTTCACTTTGGAGGGGCCTCTGCTGGGGTTCTCATCAGAAAGCACCAGGAAATTGGGGGTGCCTCCACCCCCGGTTGCCTTGGGACAGCTGTACTATCACGGCCGCCCTGGGTCTGTAGCCAGTCTGGTTCAGAGCTTCCCTGGACCCTACGTCAGAGTCCCTGGGCAGGCCCAGTGAACCTCAGATTGTCTTCATTTTTAGATGAAGCTGGTGAATCCCACCATAGATAACTTAAAAAAAAATCACTGGTACCTTTGCTTTGGGCATATATTATATGATTTTTTTAAGTGCCTGACTTGTGTGAGTCATTGCATTGAATATTAGGAGTACAGAGATAAATAAGTCCTTTTGTTTTTTGTTGTTTTTTTTTTTTTTTAGAAAGAATTTGGTAATGGACAAGATAGCCCTATATTTTATTATAATATGGTAAAATCTAAGATAGAGATGTGCACAGAATGCTGTTTAAACTCACAGAGGGGACACTGGTGGGGGTTGGGGGCTGGGGTGGGAATACTTCCAGGAGAAGACCCTCAGACTGAAGCATGGAGCACAACAGCAAGATAAGGAGAGGTGGGAAGGTGAGCCAGGCAGATGGCCCACCGTGAATTTTATATCAGGGATGTGAAAGTGAATGATCAGCTACTGTGTGTGTGTGTGTGTGTGTGTGTGTGTGTGTGTGTGTGTGTGTGTAAATGAGCAGAGACAGGAGGCTGCCCAGGAGTATTTGGAGGAAAGATAAAGACAGCCTAGCTCTGACAGTTGTCCAGAAATAATTAACACACACTGAACTTTTACTAAAACTACTAAGTGGCTTCAGCCCCTTACAGGTAGGCCAGCGGTGGTTTGAGTGTGTGTGGCACTTTGTGACTGAGGTCTTAGAGCCTAGCGGCCACTCTTACATCCTAGACTTAGCACTGCCATGCCTGATCTCCTAGTCTGGTGTGAAGGCGTCACAGTTTCCTCAGCCTCTGAACCTAGAAACACTGACCTGATCCCAGGACGTCAACTCTCTGGTCAGTGTGCGCCATTGAGTCACCACAGCTGCCCCACGGAGACACTGCTGCTGTCCCACCTGCATCCTCACCATCTCCTCCAGGGGATGCGCCAGCCCTGTCTTCTGAGCCCCTGATCCCTCTTTCCTTCTTCCCAGCCTCCTCACTGCCACAAGGGAGCACCTCAAAATACACAGTATGTCTTTGCCATTTGCCTGCCCTCGGCCATTCCTAAATCCTAACTTGTACAATAGCTTTGACCGGCCTTGTTGATCTGGCCCAGCCTCGTTGTCCAGCCATGTCTCCCATGTCCTTCCTTCCCACACACCAAGCTTTTCACCGTGCACCAATCCACTGGAGCCTGTTGGGCTGCTCTGTCCATGCATGTGCTCATCTCCCTGCCTGCGGCACCTTTCCTCCACCCCTTCCTTCTCCTAATGAATTCCTCCTGTCCTGTGAGGGCCACCGCAAGTGTCCCTTCCTCAAGTATCCTTCCTTGGTGTACTTTCTGGTCAATCTCTGTGTTAGCACCTGTGTTTCTCTTCTTGGCTGTGGACTTCTCAGAGTCTGGTGCTCACCTCAGTCCTTTTCCGGTTGAGCCCCTTGCCTGGCACCTGGCTCCCGAAAGCCACTCACTGATAGCAGGCACATATATCAGTGATCTCGTTTGCTCCGACGTCCCCACATTTGTGACCCACAGACTCACAATCAAGGGAAACAAAAACCAAATTCATCTTCTTCCCCAAAACTCAGAATCTTTGGTTCACCCTTTCTAATCACCCTGACTCAAAGTCACAGTTCCCTCACCCTGCAATGTCCCATGTGTAATTATTTACCGACTTCTATTGTTTCCACCCCAAAGATACATTTTAAATCTGCCCAATTCCATACCCCTACTTTCAGTTCTTCATCTCCCATCTGGCTGTTGCAATAACCTTCTAAGTGCCCCTCTCCCTTTTTATATTCATCATTCAGGCTGCCATCAGAACTCTTTAAAACACAGAAATGATTAGGTCATATTTCAGGGCAGGGGTCTTTACAGAATCTTGCATTACCTCCTCGTTTCTGTGCTTTGGCATGGTCTTTATAGGCTGACTTTAACTCACCTTTCCACCCTCTACCAGCCCGGTTCTCCAGCTACCTGCCAGCACTCGTCCTGGCCCCGTGGTACAGGAGTGGCCTTAGGTCGCCACCCTCTGTGCTCACTTGTGCTTTTGCTCATATCCACTTACCAAACTCCTACTCTTCCAGTTAAGACCAATTAAATATGAGTTGTTCTGTGATGCTTCCTCATTACCCCAGCCAGAAGTAGGGATTCCCTGCTTTGAATTTTAATTATACCTCAATTATAACATTTACCATTATCTGCGTTAGAATAAGCCTAGCTTCATGACTATCTGTCTCATACTTGGTTATGAAATCCTTAAAGAAAAGAGACATCTCTTACTCATGTTTTATAGTCTCCCCTCCAGCCCCATAGTGGACTTCAATAAGTGAATACTTGAATTTAGCCATCTTTATACCTTTGCATATTTCTCAAGCACTGGCTTTTGAGCTCCTTGTGCAAGGTCCAGGTTTTCATCTCGGCACCTCCTGCAGTAACCAGCATGGTGTCTTATACGTAGTAGGTAGGCTGCCCAATAAATATTTCTTGCATTGGACTGGCTTAACTAATTCTCAGTTGGGAAAAGTTTCATTGAGAACAGAATCACCTTGGGACGAGGTAGCCAAGTGGTTAAGGCGAGAACAGAATCACCTTTATCATTTTTGCACAAAGCACACATTTTCCACCACCAGCTATTCCTGCTTGGCTGTATGCAAGCACGTCAGTTTCGCAGCCACAAATGTGACATGCACTACCCACGGGTGAGTGCTGATTGATGCTAACTGTAGATGCAGCGGAAATATTAATGAGCTGTCACTTCTCAAAAATGTTAAAGGGGATTTTTGCAATATTTAAAAACATGCCAAGGTTCTTGGAATGGAATCCTTTGATCAATGGGGACATTTTCTCTTGAAACATGTATTACTTAGAATACCAAAAGAAATTAATCTTTAAATACAGTGAGGCAGCTTCCTCAGAGAATAGGTGATTCCTTTGCTAGTTGCTATGGGTATATGTGGGGTTGGTATTTCATTAGGTATGGGACCTTTAGGCAGGTTCATTAAGCTCTCTGAGCATTACTTCTCTCACCTGTAAAATGGATATTAAAATAATGTGATGTTGGTATGCAGGAATTTTTTAAATTACATTTTATTGATTATGCTATTACAGTTTTCCCAGTTTTTCCTCCTTAGTCCCCCTCCACTTAGCACCCCCACCCACCCCCTCAGGCAGTCCCCACACTGTTGTCCATGTCCATGGGTCATGCATGTGTGTTCCTTGGCTACTCCATTTCCTATGCTGCACTTTACATCCCCATGACTGTTCTGTGACAACCAGTTTGTGCTTTTTAATCTCCTCACCTCTTCACCCATTCCCCCACACCCCTCCCATCTGGCAACCACCAAAACATTCCTTGTATCTATGATTCTGCTTCTGTTCTTCTTCCTTATTTTGTTTTTTAGATTCTGTTGTCGGTAGATATGTATTTGTTGCCATTTAATTGTTCATATTTTGGATCATCTTCTTAAAGAAGATCCTTTAACATTTCATATACTGTTGATTTGGTGGTGATGTACTCCTTTAGATTTTTCTTGTCTGGGAAACTGTTTATCTGTCCTTTGATTCTACATGACAGCTTTGTTGGGTAGAGTAATCTTGGTTGTAGGTCCTTGCTATTCATTGCTTTGATTATTTCTTGCCAATCCATTCTGTCCTGCAAAGTTTGTTTTGAAAAATCAGCAGATAGTCTTATGGGGGCTCCCTTGTAGGTAACTATCTGCTTTTTCCTTGCTGCTTTTAAAATTCATTGTTTTTAACCTTTGGCATTTTAATTATGATGTGTCTTGAGGTGGGCCTCTTTGAGTTCATCTTGTTTGGGACTCTCTGCACTTCTTAGCGTTGTATGTCTATTTCCTTCACCAGGTTAGGGAAGTTTTCTTTTCATTATGTTTTCAAATAAGTTTCCAATTTTTGGCTCTCTCTCCTCCTTCTAGCACCCCCATGATACAAATGTTGGTATGCTTGAAGTTGTCACAGAGGCTGATTACACTGTCCTTGTATTTTTTGGATTCTTTTTTCTTCTTGCTATTCTGTTTGGGTATATTTTGCTTCCTTATATTTCAAATCACTGGTTTGATTTGCAGCTTTATCTATGCTACTGTTGTTTCCCTGTACATGGTTCTTTATTTAAGTTAGTGTATCCTTTATGTCTGACTGGATCTTTTTTATGTTGTCGAGGGCCTCACTAACTTCCTTGAGCATCTTATAACCAGCATTTTGAACTCTGCCTCTGATAGATTGCTTTTCTGCATCTGATAGATTGCTTTTCTCCATTTTGATTAGTTCTTTTTCTGGAGTTTTGTTGTATTCTTTCTTTTGGGCCATGTTTCTTTGTCTCCTCATTTTGGTATCCTCCCTGTGTACGTTTCTATGTATTAGGTAGAGCCACTACATCCCCCAGGCTTGGTAGTGTGGCCTAATGTAGTAGGTGTCTTGTAGGGTCCAGTAGTATAGCCTCCTCTATTACCCAAGCTGAGTACTCAAGGCACACCTGCTCTGTGGGCTTTGTGCACCCTCCTGTTTAATTGAGCCCTTATTGCTGTTGGCACATCCAAGGTCGGCCTGTGTTCTGTCCAGGGCCACACAGTATGAGCTACAAAGCAATCAGCAGATGGCTGCTACTTGGGGGGGGCTGGCAGGTGCCTGGGTGGAGCCAAGCTGTGAACCAAGGCCCACTGCTGTTAGTGCCAGGCTTGGGGCAACTTAGAGGTACAGGACCTGCTGAAGCCATATGCTGGTTGTTTGAGATCATTTAAGAATATCTAAAGCATGAACCAAGACAGGTCATTCCTATGGAAAAATCACTGGAAATAGCTTAGGTGGGGCAGGGCCTCAGGGAATCACCAGGACAAGGCAAACAGTGTGAGCCATGTTGATGGAATCTCAGATGCAGCACCCACCTGCTGGCTCTGTGGCTCTGTGGGAGGAGGACTCAGAAAAGGAATGGCAGCCTCTGCCAGCACTTCTGTCTTAGAGAAAGCTGCCACCCAGCTCTTGCTCTAATGCCAGACAATTCAGTTCCTCCCTGTACATCTCTGATGCCTCTCAGTCTGCTGCTCCCCCACACTGGAGCTCAGAGGGAGTGAGTCTGAGTGAATCTGACCAAGTCTGTGCATAGGCTTTTTATAAGGAACTGCCAAGGAGTCCAGCAGTTTCTGTCTTCCACAACCTGAATCCCCACTGGTTTTCACCACCGGAAGTTATGGTGGCTTCTCCTCCTGGCACTGGAACCCACGGCTGGGGGCCTGGTGTGGGGCTGGGACCCTTCACTCCTGATTTTTATCTGCCACAGGTGGGTGTGGGACCAGCCCATTCCATGTCTCCAACCCTCCTATCAGCCACATTGTAGTCTCTTCTTTAATTCTGTACTTGTAGGACTCTCATTCAGCTCACTTTCTGACAGTTCTGAGTGATGGTTGTTCTCTAGTTTAGTTGTGATTTGGTGTGGTTGTGCGCAGAGGTGAGCCGTGTTCACCTACACTGCCACCTTCGGCATGCAAGAACATGTGCCACCAGCGCCTGCCGCAGAGCATGTGGTGGTCACCACGGCAGTTTCTTCTCACGGTCGCATCACATCCTGGCGTTTTGAAGCCCAGCTTTGCCCACCAGCCCCCAACTGATCTGACTCCAGTCAGGGTCTTCTTCTCGAACCTGCCTTTTTTGTCTTTTTTTTTTTCTTTAAAATAAAAAATAATCTTAATCTTATCTCAGGGAAAAGTATAGGCAGAGAGTTCCCCAAATGTCCCTGGTGGTTATGTATGGATTAGATGGGACATGAGGTAATTTTAGTTTTTATTTTGTTCCTTTAGGGAAAGGGTTCTTGTATATATTTTTTTTCTTATCTAGACTTCTCCATTGTCTGAAATGATTAGGTGTTTCTCATGTAATTGTTTTAAGAATGAAACAGTCAACAAAAGATGTCTTTAAAAATATGCACTTCACCGTCTGATGAGAGCCTCAAGCGTTCACATCTGTGTGGCGCAAAGGCAGGAACACCTGCTGGTGCCCCAGAAGTCCTAACCGACCTCTCCCAGCATGGGACGTTCTCAGCGATGTGTTCGTTGTGTTCCTTTCCAGGCTACAGCACCATGAGCCCGCAGGAGGACAGCGAAAACCCTCCGTGCAACAACGACCCCTTGTCAGCAGGGGTGGATGTGGGGAACCACGACGAGGACTTGGACCTGGATGCCCCGCCTCAGACCGCAGCCTTACTAAGTAACAAGTTCCACCACTACCGCTTACACCACCCCACGCTCCATCACAGCCACCACCTACAGGCGGCCGTGACAGTTCACACCGTGGATGCGGAGTGCTAACAGTCCCCTTCCCTCTGTGAGAAGACGGGATCTGGGAGATACAGAATATTCTAGAGGAAGAAGAATCGGCATGAAATCCACAGCAAGAAACCCCTTGTGTTTGGGCTTTGTCCGGGGCGGCTTAACTCCGTCCTGCCTGTTAGTATGTTTGACAACAGGAGAAACAACAAAACCGCACTTGGGAAGGTGGCAGGCTGGTTCTGGAATGGAGGGGAAATTAGCCTGATAAATGAACCTGCCATGATCCTAACGGAACGGAACAGAAGGCAAACCTCCAAACATAGAGACAAAACCTATAAATGAAACATTGGGAACCTTCGTTACACTGAGCCAGAGGAATGTCCCGAGGAGCCAGAAACATCCAGCTCTCCTTAACTGGAAGAGAGAGAAATGTGCTGAACTAGAGATAGACTGGGAGCGCGGCACGCCGGAGGCAAGTGTGTGCTTGGAAGATTTCACTTTGTTTCTTAGCGGTACCTAGAGACCACAATTGCTGTATGGAACTCATGTTCAGCTCTGAGTGATGCATCTCAATATTTCTAAGTAAAGGATTATTTTTCTACTATTTATTGAACTTTCAAACATTCTCAAACTTTGGGGGAAAGAAGAGGAAACATGAGAAATTTTCAGCAATTATTCCTAGCTATTTTGTGTGTAATGAAGTGGTTCTTTGACTGAGGAGTTCTCTTTCTTATTTAACTGATATCATCCCACTGCCCCACTCCACAAAATGGGAAAATGAAGAAATGTTTCTCTCTGACTTGTTTACAAACATTGTCTTTGGAACATGATTTCGTGGACACACGCCTTTATTCGTATTGCAGGCAGTATTCTTTCCCTGTGTTTCACAGAGATGGGAGAGGCAGAGAAATCCAACAAGTTCTTAAAGAAATTGTGTTTCTTTTTAACACTTTCCCACTCCCCATACAATGCTTTTCTTAGGTTTCTACGAAACCTAATATTACAACCCCAGCCTTTCAGCTAAGGGAGGGCTGCATTTATTCTCCATGTTTCAGAGACTAGAAATTTGAAAATATCCCATTTTGAGTCTAAGAATATTGAATACCCAAAAGAAGAAGTTTTTAAAATCCAAAATTTCGATTGTGTGTTAAAGATTTCTTTTGAAATCATAGTTCGAAGCTACTGCCAGTCATCCAAGAAGTTATCCACCAAACTGCTTTGTGATGTATACAGAGATTAATCAAATTGGGCTAATATAACATGGCATTGTAATTTTAAAGTAGTGTTCTAATGACAGTGATGTATTTTAGATTCACATGTTGTGATTCCAATATGTTACAAAGATATTCTTGCACCGTGTGTGTGGTAAATCTCCATTTATATGTAGTTGGCAAAAATTCACTGAATAATGTTTTAATGATAGGGTATTATGATATCATGTAAAAAAATTAATGGTTCCTCAGCAGCACAGGAAGTAAACTATGTGTGCTATCAGGACACCCCTTCGTACTGTGTATAAAGTTGCAGTCTAGTGGAATAAACTGTATGAATGGACAGTGTTGGTGGTTATAGTGATTTGTTCATGTGCCGCTGCTTGTGCCTCAGAACAGATAACATTCACTTTGTCACCTGGCAGATCGGCTGCCACACGGAAAGGAGACCTCCTTCTAAGGCTGGCATCAACTTCAGGGGCTTCTTGACCATCTTGAACATGCAAAGAAACTTAAAATTATAATGGGAAAAATTAAAAGCAAATATTTTAAAGTGTGTGGGACGTAGCTCCCCTTCCTGAACATCTAAAGTTGTGTCGTTAATGATGAATAAATGGTTATTCTCTAACTGCTGGAGAGAATGGGTGACTTTCCTGTCTTCCCAGAAAATCAGACTTTTCCGTGTAGGTTTTTTCTAAAGTTCATCAGAACCTTTGTGTTATAATGCTAGCTTCTTGATGGGGGATGAGGGGGGACCTGGTGCTTTGAAGAAAATAATCACAAAACTTATAGCTTAAAAATGAAAAACGTTACAGCCTGCTCAACTATAGCAACAGAAATGTCTTTTGTGATAAGTAACTCACTTATCTTGAACTTTAGAGGCAAACAATTGAATTCTTACACCTGAATAAGAAAACCTATGTTTTACAGTTCCTGTAGAATAGGACATACAGGTTTGTGACATTTGGATTGAAATTCTGATCTTCTAAATGACCTTTTGTCTTCTTCCCTAAGATTGCATATAATGTTTAAACATTTGGTTTTGTATTGTTGTTGTTATTTAAAAGGAAAAATATGTTTTTGCACCTTTTTATCATGGTGACCAGTATTGTTCCCCTTTGCTCCCCTGATACCGGGCTTTGTGAAGCAGGAATCTTCCCTGAAACCCTGGAGGGAGGACCCATCCCTGCCTGTCATTTGCTGAGGCCTCACGATGCCTGTAACCTGCACTACTTGTCACTGTTGGTAAGCACCGAGAGCTAAAGGTGTTCCAGGTCGCTTTACATAGCTGGAGAAGGAAATTTCCTGCCTGTGGCCCAAACAGGATTCCGACCCATATTGGTTCTCGTGGTCTGTATTTATCTGCTTTCCAGATGTGTTTATTTTAGACCTTTTGGGCAATGTCTCTTTTCTTCCTCTATCTCAATTGAATTTGAATGCTCAACTAAACTTCATTAATATTTTTATTTGAAAGCCCTTGTCAGATTTACTCAGACAGGTTTATTTTGTATGTCAGAGTAACTGGTAGGTGTGGGAAGAAATCCTGGAAGATTACTTAAGCTCACTTCCCTTTGGCAATGGCCCGCTCTAATGGTTACATTTTTTAAATGTATGTCTGGTAGAATAATCAAAACAGACCAGCCCAGTCCCATCTGTGTCCTTTTTGGTCTGTTTCTCAGTGGAGGAGTGCAGATTTTCCTGGCTGAAATACAATGCCATATTCAGAATTTTTTTGTAAATTTTCAGTAAAAATGAATCAAGTTGAAAGATATATTTCTATGGCTATTATTTATAACTGTATAATATGGTCTGTTTAATAGCTAAGGTGTGTGTCAATACATATAGATGTGTGTACATTTGAGATTGTTCTGTTTCTCTTCCCCACAGCCTCCCTCCTCAGTCCTACACTGCTCTTAAAGCATCTTCTTCATCCTTGAATTCAGTATTTCTTAACCCTTTTTGCAATTCAGTATTGTCCCCTCCTAAGGAGAAAATTTTTATTTAATTTAAATTCATCCTAACAAGAGAAATTAAATAGTAGGAGATAAGATTTTGTTGGAGAGGGTGGAGTTTTGGAGGAAGACTACACACCATTGTAATATCTGATTTCTTTGCTCCGCCAAGAATCCATTTTCACCTCTTGTGGTCAGTATCTCCCCGATTTGAGAATGTATTCTGTCCTCAGCCCCCTTTTTAGTACTTGCTTGGGGTGCTAGAGCACTGAGTTAAAAATGAGGCCAGGAGCTAAAACCAAAGCCTCTGATCCCAGGCTCAGAACTACCTTGAACTTCTTCATCTCCTTTCCTCGTTTCACATCTGGCCTGTGGCCAAGTCCAAAGTCCTTGAGTAGACAGTATCCTTGCATTTGTCTGTCCCTTTCCATTTGGGGGACTGGGTTGTAAGCTGTCTGTATCTTCCACTGAATCAGTGACATCCAGGTGGTTCCAGACTCTTTTCTCCAGTTCTTCATTTATTCAGCAAATACTCACTGAGCTCTTACTACATGTCAGACTTGTGAGTACATGGGAATGAGTTAAGCAGAGCAATCCCTTCTCTCCCTGAATGTGGAGATGTACATGGATAACAGTGTTTGCCCCGCTCTTCACTGTGTAGCAGTGAATGTGATCCCAGGAGTTAACCTCATGCCCAGAGGTGTATTTCTCATTAGTCCTACCACAGTCTTCGTAAACTCATCCTATTTACTTGGTCTTGAGTTCAGAGTCAAGGCAACCACCATAAGGCATTCTTCCCGATGACTGGGAGAACATGTGACCTAATCTGAACCCCACCCTAACTCTGGATTTCCACTAGGCAGATAATAAAAGGTCCTTATTTGTGTAAGACTTTTTGAGTTGGCATTTTAATATCTGCACTTGAAAGCTTCCAAAGTAGGCATTAAACAAGCAAATACAAAATTATAAGTACAATTTTACATACAGCTAGCTATTTACTGCGAAGGCAAAGAAAGTGTGACAGACAAAATAACCCATAGAGGGGGAGTGGGCACAGAAGGAATCTGCTTTGGATTCAGTGTTCATGGGAAGTGAGAGGGTGACATTCAAGCTGCCACTGAAGAAAGAGCAAGCCAGTCCACAGGACAGGGCAGTGAGCAGGCCCACATTTGAGGCAGAGGAAATAGAACAAAAACATGCAGTGGGCTTGAGAGAGAGAACTGACCAGCTAAAGGGAAAGTGAAATGTAGGAAGATGGGGTATTGTAATCCATGGAGAAGAAGTAGGGGAAACCAATAGGATCTTTTAAGAAAGCTAGGTGAGGCTCTACTTTAAAGATGAGGCTATACTTTTAAAACATCATTACAAGATGACAATGGATTGTGGGGTGGCAAAAATGGAAATATGGATAGGAAACCATTGCATATGTCTAGGTAAAATGCAGGATGCTGGCAGTAAAGTGGAGGAAAGCAGAACAGTAGAAAATCCATTTTACACATGCATGGCTTGGCAATGGGGCAGGGTGAAGGGTTCCTGGCTCTGACAATTACATAGTGGTAACCACTTTCTGTGCAGGAGATGTTCGATGTATTTAGTGTGAGGTGGCTAGAGATGTCAAGTTCATCCTGCAAAGCTCAGCCCAGTAACTACTGATGACTTTGACTCACATGGAACGTTTGCTCAGTGACCAGCACTGTGGCAAGTTCTTCTCATCTGCTACCTCATTTAATATGAATGAGCTCTGTTCATTTAGCACTGTAGGAGAGCTTCCCGTTTTACTACTTTACCTATTTCCCTCAGTGGCATGTTCCTGAGTTCACTTCTGCTTAAATCCAGAACCTCATCATGCTGCGCTATGCACATCTCTGCTGTGTTCCAGCCAGCTGGCCTTCTGACCAGACACCTTCTGACTTTCCCGATGTGATGTGTGTTTTCATTTATACTTTTTGTGTATGAATTTTTCAGCCTTATTCAGGTATAATAAACATAAATAAAAGATTTAAAGTATACATCATGATGATTTGATATATGCCTTTGTTGTGAAAGGATTCCCCCCATTTAGTTAACACATTCATCACCTCATTTATTTATTGAGAACATTTAACTTCTGCTCTCTTAGCAATTTTCAGTTGTAACACTGTTGTCAACTATAGCCACCAAGTTTTACATTAGATCCTCCGATCTTACGCCTCTGATAGCTGAAAGTGTGTACCTTTTACCAAACTCTCCATATTTCCCTACCCCCAGCCCTGGCAGACACTTTTCTACTGTTTCTGTGAATTTGGTGTTTTTTTAAGATTCCACGCATATTTGTCTTTCTCTATCTGGCTTATTTCACTTAGCATAGTGTCCTTGAGGTCCATCCAGTTCTTTGCAAAAGATAGAATTTCCTTCTTTCTCGTCACTTTTTGTGCACATTTTTAAAATCTGTTTATATTTTCTCTTCTCTAAAGAGATATCCTCTCACTCCAGCAATTCAAACACAGCTTCTTCATGACCAGGTTCCTTAACCCTGCTTGCCTGCTTAAACAGTGACCTCTGGCCTTTGACTTCTCCAGTGCTGTTACGTCTGCACCACCAGTCATGAATTTCTAGTTTATACTGGCTTAGATGTTGGCTGCATTTTCTTTTTTTTGTTTTTAAATTTTTAAAAAAAATTTTCAATTACAGTTTACATTCAGTGTTACTTTCTGTTAGTTTCAGGTGTACAGTCTGGTGGCTATACAATCCTGTACTTGACAAAATGTCCCCATTGAATTTTCACATGAATTCTTTCTTTTATAAAGATTTTATTTACTTATTTTTAGAGAGGGGAAGGGAAGGAGGAAGAGAAACATCAATGTGTAATTGCCTCTTGAGCTCCCCCGACCAGGGATCTGGCCCACATCCCAAGCATGTACCCTGACTGGGAATCGAACCAGCAACCCTTTGGTTCACACTCCAGCACTCAGTCCACTGAGCCACATCAGCCAAGGCTCATACAAACTCTTTTATAGACTCAACTACATTTGAGTTTTCTAAGGGCAAGGACTATTATTGCTCTTTGTGATGTTCATGGACCATATCCTATACTTTGTAGGGCCTTAAATGTTTGTTTAAAAGATTAAATGTTTGTTTAAAAGATTAAATTTCTAGAGTATCAACTGCAGCCATAAATTAATTAGTTACAACATATAAAATGTATATAGCACTTAAAGTAGTAAATGAAGCACACTGATTTTTCCAAAATATTTGCTTAATCAGTTAGTGCAACACTTTCTTTAAATTGAAGTATAATTGACATTATATTAGTTTCATGCATTCAGTGTAATGATTCAACATTTATATGTATGTGTGTGTGTATATATATATATAAAAATGATCACATAAGTCCAGTTAACATCCATCACCA